TCAAACAACAGAGAGAGACAGTCATTCGCTTGAAGAGACGCCAGAGAAATCGAAAAACTCTTCTCTCAGCCAATTTAAAGGAATTAAAGTAGGCTCTTTAACGGCACCTGGAAGGTCGAGAGAGAGATCAAATCTGCGAACTGAAGAGACGCTAGAGAAGTGAGAATACTCTACGTTCTCTAGCGTCTCTTCAAATAGCCGTTATCTCTCATTTTCACTCCTCAAACACTCAAACAACAGAGAGACAGTTATTCGCTTGAAGACGCCAGAGAAAATCGAAAAACCTCTTCTCTCTGGCCTCCTTGCTAGATCGTCTGCTGGATCTCTCGCTCCAGCTCCTAATCTCTGGAACTTGAAGAAAGCGAGAGATCAACTGCGACCTGAAGAGACGCTAGAGAAGTGAGAATACTTTCCACGTTTCATCCAGCGTCTCTTCACAAAGCCAAGTGATCTCGCATTTTCACTTTTTATCAAACACTCAAAACAACAGAGAGACAGTCATTCGCTTTGAAGAGACGCCAGAGAAACTCACCGAAAAGCTCTGATCTCTGGCCTTCAGCGGGTTCCGTTGATCTCTCGTTTAGGCTCTGTAACTTCTGGCAGCGTCGAAGGTCGAGAGAGATCAACTACGACCCGAAGAGACGCCAGTGAAGTCAGTATACTCTAGTTTCTCTAGCATCTCTTCACATAGCCTTTATCTCTCATTTTCACTTTTTATTCTTTTGAACACTCAAGCAACAGAGAGACAGTAATTCGCTTGAAGAGACGGCTGAGAACTCAAGAAACTCTCTTTCTCTGACCTCTCTTCAGGTCTTCGTTGATCTCTCGCTCCAGTTCCCAACTTCTGGAACTTGGAAGAAAGAGAGATCAACTGCGACTTTAAGAGACGCCAGAGAAGTGAGAAAAACTCTAGTTACTCTATCGTCTCTTCACAAGCCGTTATCTCTCATTTTCACTTTTTTTATTTTTTTCAAACACTCAAACAACAGAGAGACAGTCATTCGCTTGAAGAGACGCCAGAGAAATCGAAAAAAACTCTCTTTCTCTGGCCTCTCTCAGGGGTTCCGTTGATCTCTCGTTTAGGCTCTTTAATCCTGGCACTTGGAAGGTCGAGAGAGAGATCAACTGCGACCTGAAGAGACGCCAGAGAAGTTAGAACACTCTAGTTTCTCTAGCGTCTCTTCAAATAGCCGTTATCTCTCATTTTCACTTTTTTTTCCTCAAACGACAGAGACAGTCATTCGCTTGAAGAGACGCCAGAGAAATCGAAAAACTCTCTTTCTCTGGTCTCTCCGCTGGTCGTCGTTGATCTCTCGCTCCAGCTCCTTACTTCTGGAACTTAGAAAGAAAGATGGAGAAATATAGAGATCAACTGCAACCTGAAGAGACGCCAGAGAAATCGAAAAACTCCTCTTTGGTCTCTCCGCTGGTCTCCGTTGATCTCTCGCTTCAGCTCCTAATTTCTGGAACTTGGAAGAAAGATAGAGATCAACTGCGACCTGAAGAGACGGCAGAGAAATCAAAAATCTTTTTCTCTGGCCTCTCTGCAGGCTCTGTTGATCTCTCGCTTGCTTTTTTTTTCCTGATTTCTTGCGCCATAATTCCTTTTATCATCTTCTCGTTCTATACAGGTTTTTTTTTTCAATGCTTAAAAATCTACCAAGCCAGGCCAATCCAGGCGTCTTCGGTAACTTGTCGGCCACGATGCTCAGCATAAAAATCAGGGCTAAAATCGATCCGAGACCCAATCCTACCTGAAAAAAACTGGTGTAGACTATAAACTATTCCTGGAAATTCAAAAAAACCTACAATATCGTTCGATTCTCCCTGTCGGAGAGGTACCAGCGCTCCCGTAATCGTAACGACACAAATGAAAAACGTCGGAATCACGACCATCACGATATAATACGTCGGATAACGTTTCAAGTGCGCTATGAAAATTACCTAAATTCATTCTATCTGATTAAAACTTTTTCGAAACTCCCAAACCGCTCTGTAGTTTTGTCCGGCAATACTATAATTGTTCGAGGCCAGGGTTTGATTGAAATACTTGAATTCACTGTTTCCCTGAAAAAATGTTTATTTGATTGAATCTAATGAAATTTCCGTTAACATGTACCCAAATAATGCGATAACGCAATAATTTTCGACCATAATTTCAGAATAGTGAATGCATATCTAATTCAAAGAACACGCTCGGAATGGCTCTATAGTCTGTGCAGTTGTGAATGTCAAGTCCATAGGCGAAGTCCGAAGGACCTTTGAGCGTCCGTTATGGATCAATAGATTTCCATTAATTGTTCCTAAACGGGTGGCAACGGTTTCCTTTTTACTGCCTTTTTCCGTCCTTTCATCGGCCTTTATCCACCCTTTTTGGACCCTTGAGAAAATTTTTTAGAGAAATACCAGTGACTGTGTATGAACCAAAGTGTGCTACAGTAATAAAATCGGAAATGATCAATGGCCAAGACTTTCAGCACCCCTTTTTCACCCTATTTGAGGCTTTTCAGCTCACCAAGAAAGAAAGGCTCAATAAAGGCCAGAAAACGGAACCCTTTTAGCGGCCATTTTGCACCCGTTTTCCGCCCTTCGGACTTTGGCAGTGTCGTTGCTCTAGCTCCGCCCCTTATGGCGCAAAAAGCCAATGAGAGCGAGTATAGAAATCATTGTTGAATGTTGTACTTGACATTAAAAAACTTAACAGATATAAGCATACAGACTACAAAGAGGTGCACCCGACCTGAAACCGGTTTACGCGCGCGGCTTAAGAAAAAAAAAAGGAAAAATCGACTCCGACCGCGACGATTTCACTCATTTCCAATGCGACCCCGGTTATAGAGTCGATAGATTGGGACGCTAAGGGGGCGTGGCCTATCTGCGCTCTCCACGAGCCGGGCACTATCTCTTTTTATCGTGTCAGGACCTTTTTTATAGCTTAAGCCGGCCGTGAATCAAATATTATATGATTCATTGACACCTCAAGAAAAAAGAAGCTTCAAAGAAAGTCTAAAATGCCTTCAACTCACACTGATTCCTCCCAAATAAGTGGTCCGGTCGATGAAAGGCGCCATATCGCAATGTTCGATCGGTACGGCCGGAGAGGAAAATGCGATAACGCAGTACTGAGTATCAAAAGGAAATCTTCAAATGAAATCTTTTCAAAGAATAAAAATTGAAGTAAAACCTAGGAACATCAACTTCACACACTAAACTCGCATACACGGTTTTCCGGAGTTGAAGCAAGCCATTGGAATTAACCTGAATCTCGATTTTTGCATAATTTACGAATTGAAAGTCTCAGCTCTAAAATAGAAGGTCATTTTTGCGTAAGATATAAATTTGCTCAAACAATCTTTTATGGACTGAGAGCCAGTCTTCCATAGTATAGTCGATGTGCCACGAGTTGAAATTTCATGGAACGACACTCCGCTTGGTGGCCTTGTGGAAGAATCAATGCCTTTGCGTAGGGACCGCAAGCCATTTCTTCAGAACGATTCAAAAAATATGTTTTTCACATTGTTCGATAGAAGAGACTGTCCATTTTCATAATCCGTTTAGTTTTTGAAAAAAGCTCCACTAAGGAAAAAATTATGGCCAAAAAACGAGCGCGCGTGGCGTTCAACTGGAGGCAAAATCTCACGGTTTACCCGCTGCCGCACGCTTTCTTTTTAATTGTTTTTGCGCGTTTCTGGACCGTTTTCGAATCGGTTTTCTGTTCTGAGAGGTTGTCAGAACTGAGCTTAACGTTTTTGGTATGAATCTTTTGTACAATCCTCATAAGAATTTTTTTGATAAAATATCAAAAAAACTACCTAGAAAAAAAGGTCAAAGGGATTTTTTTCAGCTTATTTTTTTCTTTTTTTATACTCAGAAAAAAATTATTATCATTCGATTTGGAAAAAAAGAAAAAAATGAAAAAAATAATGTTATTTCGAAATAAAACAGGAAAAAGTGCAATTTGACTCCGGAAAACGGCTCCTGCGTCATTTAAAAGGGCGCATCGGTGTGTTTGACGCAAACACTGCTACGGACACTTGCACGGAATCTTCCAAAATTTCAAAAAAAATTGCCATTTTTTTCGAGGTTTTTCAAAGCCGTTATTTTTTTCGCGTCGATCGATTTTTTTCATAATTTTTTTCATTGATAGAGTTTTTGAACGCTTAATAACATAAGCAAAAAGTATAGACGCGATCCTATTCTCTCAAGCGTCAACGAGGCAGGCGAAAAAAAGAAGGTTTTGGTAAAACTCAAATATAATTTGATTCGCTGTCCCAATAATTATTTTCATTTTGAATTTTATTTTTGGACACACTGTTAGTTTTTAAATAAAATAAAAAAAGTATACCATGTCGCTGAAATTTTTTTCGCATTTCAGCTTCAAAGTTTGGTGTCACTTTACAAGCTTTTAATAATTTTTTTCGCGTCGGTAGATTTTTTTCATTTTTACTCAAAAAAATAAAGAAAGTGTTAATGTATAACATACTTAAAATTTAGAAGCGTTCCTCACTTGGTTTTCTGAAACGCGACGATTTTGGGAAACTTGTCAGTTTTTTTCGTGTTAAATCTTACTTTTTTTCGCTTATTTTTTTGAAAAAAATACATAGTTTTAAAAAAATATTCAGTCTTGTAGAGCGTTGTCGATTACATAGATTAACAGAAACAGTTCATTTTTAAAGTGGGACTTTAGCTAGTATAAACGCCTCGAAACCGTTTTTGCAACAAAAAAATCGTCATTTTGGTGGCGTGAAGGGGCGGGGCTTTGCGCCCCTACCTTTGCGGATCTCGGTCACGCTTTCTCATTTTATAATTTGCCGTTTTCAAATACATTTTCTTTGATAATTGTTTAGTTTTATGAACTTTTTGGCAGTGCAATGGATGAATAAAGTTTTTCAGAATGCCAATAATTCAACCAGAGGATAAATAAGCAGTGAAAAACCTTATGTTGACTGAAACCGATCTCTCTATTTCATAGTGCGTACACGTCTTCATTTTATAAGCCACTCACTTTCTGGAAAAATCCCTTAACAACTGCAACAAACAGAAAAAAAAAAAACGATGAAAACATTTAAACGGCTTTAACGAAAACACACTTTTTTATTCCTTTTTTCGAGAGAGATCATGAAATTTACTGTGTTCTTTCGTTTACATTTGTACAACGCAATCTTTTTTTCAACGATTATAATACATTTTAAAGAAATAAAAAAATAAAAAAACGATCAAAACTAGAATAAAAAAATCAAAAAAATCTAGCGTGGCCGAGGTTGGCAAATTCGCACAATGCGCGCTATCGCACAAATCGAAACAGCGGAGTGTCGTTCCATGAAATTTCAACTTGTGGCACATCGACTATAGCTATCTGCGCAAAATGTTCGTTTCGGAGATATGATTTTTTAAAGCTTTCATTCTTTGACACGTGCCACCGTTCGGAAGGGGTGTGTCCGCGCCACCAACCATTTCATGACAGCTAGGGGCGTGGTGCAGTGGCTAGCGTGTTAGCCTACGAAGACTACGATGAAGGTTCGAATCTTTTCATGATCAAAGGCATAAGGGGCAGTAAAAAACGGTCTTTCAGTTCAAATCAGTACTTTGTAGAGCTTTTCATTGCGAATCGAACGGTGAACTTGAAAAAGTACAGAAGTTCCTAGTTTTGGGAAAAAAATAATTTAAAGTCGGAGAAAGGAAAGTTTGAGTTCCCGCGAAAAGGGCGCTTTGCAGTAAAGTTGCTCTATGGACAACACGTATCGCCATTTTTCGGACTTTCGCTTTTTTCTTCGTTTCTTTCTATTTTCGATTTTTTCCGTTGTCACCAAAGTTCTTTTTGTCCCAAAAGCTTTCTATTCATGTATAGTTTGCAAACTTTGATCGCAAAAATGCTTCTCGGGTAAAAAATGATGACTTTACACAGGTTTCGATGGGGATAGCAATATTTTGTGTTTTCTTTATTATCGGTGGGTTTTTTTTGTTTGACCTAATGTTTTCTCAGAGAAGAAACCCTTAATTGGAAGCAGATATCCGGTTATTTCTCACAAAATGCGAGTCTAATGAGACGTCCGCAACATCGCGTGCACAGTAATTTTTTTGAGTACACCGTTCGATTCGCAAAGGAAAACTATACACTGCGTTCAATAAGGATAGGACCCCCCTCGATTTTGGACTTTCTGGCAAAATACGGAAAGATATCAAAAATCTGTGAGTGCCATTCGATTCAGAGTACAAAATAACCCACAGAGCCAAACTTTCATTATCCTAGCACTTTTCCTACGAAAATGCCATCGAAAAAACGGTTTTTCGACCGTTCAATAAGGATAGGACCACCTGGAAATTTTTGACTTTCAGTTGTAGTTTTTTTGGTCAATTTCTCTTTTTTTGATGAGGGGTTTTTTTGTTCTCATATTATTTGTTTTCAATTTTTTTCTACGGTTTTTCTTTTTCATATCTTCCAGGTTTAAAAACATATTTTATATCGAAAAATAGGGAAAAAAAGGACGTTTTTCGAGTTTGCATCAAAATGTTTGAGCGAGTGATTTTTTCCAGTATTTTGAATGGACTAATCTTATTAATAAAGACATTTTAACATTCAAAAAAACAAAAAAAGAAGTTTGAGAAACATTAGTTTAAAAAGTTAGAAAAACCAGTTACAAGATGGTGTATCATGACCGAATTTCAGACTGTCGTCGTTTTCGACCGTTTTTCTTTATGTATGTAGTCGGAATGGCGGTGTACTTTTTTTTGAGAACTCGCGAAGGTGCTATGAACATAATTCATCAACAAAATGATCTAAAAAAATTTCATTTACTACGTACAATGCCGAGAAAATGTGAAGAGAAATTGGTACCCGCGCTCATCGAAGGTATTGTTTCAAATAGAGCGTTTGGCGGGTTTTTAGTTTGTCAACAAAATAAAGCATCACTGAAAACGTGCAATAAAACAATTTTGATTAGAAATAAAACTTTTTATATGATTTATTTATACAGTACCGCAAAAAGTTCGAGTAGCAGTCGGAAGGGTGTTTATTCCTTTGATTTCCGAGGATCGCCAATTTTTATCCAATCCAACTAAGTGTCTTTTTGTGATGGGAGCACCTTCACAAATCCTTCAAAATAAGTACACCGCCATTCCGACAAAATACAGAAAGAAAAACGGTCGAAAACGACGACAGTCTGAGATTCGGTCACGATACACCATCTTGTAACTGGTTTTCTAACTTTTAAACTAATGTTTCTCAAACTTCTTTTCGTTTTTTTGAATGTTAAAATGTCTCTATTAATAAGATAAGTTCATTCAAAGTACTGGAAAAAATCACTCGCTCAAATATTTTGATGCAAACTCAAAAAAACTTCATTTTTTTCCCTATTTTCGATATAAAAATATTTTTTTCAAACCTGGAAGATATGAAAAAGAAAACCGTAGAAAAAAATAAAAAAATAATATGAAAAACAAAAACCACTCATCAAAAAGAGAAATTGACCAAAAACTACAACTGAAAGTCAAAATTTCCAGGTGGTCCTATCCTTATTGAACGGTCGAAAAATCGTTTTTTCGATGGCATTTTCGTAGGAAAAGTGCTAGGATAATGAAAGTTTGGCTCTGTGGGTTATTTTGTACTCTGAATCGAATGGCATTTACAGATTTTCGATATCTTTCCGTATTTTGCCAGAAAGTCCAAAATCGAGGGGGGTCCTATCCTTATTGAACGCAGTGTACAAGATACTGCTTTCACCTGAAACCCCGTTTTTTCTGCCCCTATGCCTTTAAACCCGTAAAAAAAACCGATGGCGACAAAAAGATTTAAACCTTCATCATAGGCTTTGCAGGCTACTGCGCTAGCCCCTGCACCATGCTCCTAGCTGTCATGAAATGGTTGGTGGCGCGGACACATTTCTTCCAAACGGTGTCACATTTTTAAGAACAAAAGTTGCAAGAGCTCTCACTAAAATTCATCTTCTATCCATTCGGGCTGGTCTAGAAGCTCCCAAGAATTATCCCTCACCAAAGTTTCAAAAAATCTCCAAAAACTGCCCAAATTCCGAATTAGAGAGCTCACTTCGACTTTTTTTGAGCACAGATTCGGAACAAGCTAGAAAATTTCACCTCAACAGCCTCAAAATCACCAAAGGCTGGTTTAACTTCAATCGTATTGTAGGCGAAGAATGGAGGTACCCAAAGCTGGAAAAATACTTGAATCTAGTTTCAAAAGAGATTGGAAAACCTCATTATCAGGTATGAAAACTGATGTTTGATTGTACTCGGTGGCATTGAAACGTAGCCGTTCGTCGTACCATAACTTCAAAAAATCATAATTTTAAGTCATGAAAATCTACTTTGAAAAGTTTCTTGAAGAATTCACAAGAACAAGAAAGAAAAATCCTCACCATTGTATAGGAGTACAGCCAATCGGCCTCCCGATCATTTTCTTTCTGGAAAAAATCCAAAAATCAACATTATTGAACTTCGAAACATACTACAGCAAGAAGAACCATGAAAGGGATCGTTAAATTGACAATGACAGTTTCTTGTCGAATATTATAGGGACTGGATCGTTTGTCGTAGCCATTGAGAAGCGTAGAAACCAAGTCGCCAACGACTGAAAATATTCGGTCGCATTTGGAATGACTCGAACGCGTGGCGGCTGCGATGCGGCTTTCATCAATTATCTCAAGTTTAAGAGTGAATATTGAACCTCAGTGCAACCGCGAAGCCTTTAAGCCATTCCAAATGCGACCAGGAAAACTATGAATAAATATTCAATGCTCTTTTTGAAAATACTCTTTGGTCTTAACACACGTTCTCCGATATTTGCGAAAAAGGCTTGGTACAAAATAATCATCTTTGTTCCTGAAAGCTCTGCTCACTATCACTAATATACAACCTTCTGAACAATCCACACCAGGCTTTGACAGGCCCCGCCCACTTTCAGGCTTACTGTAGAAAGAATAACGTAAATCGTATCAAATTTAAACTTTTTTTAAAAAACAATATTAATTAGATTTATGTCCTCTTAAGTATACAGATGGAATTTTTTTCGAGATCTACCTTTTTTTGAATGGATAATGATCCTTGAACTTATAAATGATCAAAGTTTCTACCTATTAATGTGATTTTTTTTCCAATTTTTTTCTTTCAACATGGCGTTTTTTTGAACGCTTTGATCTCACTAGGGAACGTATTTGAAGCTTGAAATAGCCCTTTTTGTCATAATTTTTGTATTTTGCGGACGGGGGTAGGGGTTTCAAAAAAACGTTCCCTAATCATTGAGCGTTCAAAAAAAGGATAAGTTTAATAAATTTTTTTCTAGACTTTCTCAAGAATTTTTGAGCAAAAAAATGATCAGAAAAACAGGCTTTTTCTACTCTTCTATCAATTCATATACACTAAAAAGGGCTATTTTTCCTCTTTTATAAAAAAATGCATTTATTTCATCATTTCTCATAGTCAATTATAAGCTCCAATTGCACTCTGTGGTTGTAAAAGACCAAAAAGTTGATTTGAAAAAAACGAGATTTTTTTGAAAAACCATATAACTAACCAAAAAAATCTTATTTTTTTACAAATCAAAAATATATTAAAACCTACCTCCATGACTAAAAAAATACGAAAAAAATATTAAGAAATTTAGAAATGCAGCCATCGCCTGACGTCAAAAAGCCAAAGATAAACGAGAAATTTCTTTTTTTTTCGACTTTTCCAAGGCTCCGACGATGAAATTTGATAGGAAAACCTTTAGCTTATGCTATTTGAGCGGGGCGAAAGACGAAAAAAAAAGAGGTAGCCTCTAAATTTGATTGAAGTGCTTGCGTTCATATTGAATGCCTAGCCGTTTCTCAATTATTTTCAGAGTTGGCGGCGAAAAATGTCACGGCTTTTTGCCCATTGTTTGAAGGTTTTTTGGAGAAAAGGTGTTGGAAGATTACTGGAATGGAAAGGTACAATCAATTTGAAGGTCATGGGGATTATGTTATAATAAAATTTGATAATAGTTTTTTAAAGCCCATAACATGAAGTAAAAATAGAACCCAAAGCCGTTTTTGGTAGTCTCAGCACTGCCATGTCGGAAGTGCGAAAACGGGTGGAAAATTGCCGCTAGGAGGGTTCCGTTTTGCGGCCTTTATCGAGCCTTTTATTTTTGGTGGGCAAAAAAGTCTAAAAAAAGTGCAAAAAGGGTCCATAAAGGGTGCAAAAGGGGTCCAAAAAGGGTGCAAAAAGGCCGCCAAAAGGGTTCCGTTTTGCAGCCTTTATTGAGCCTTTCTTTCTTGGTGGGCTAAAAAGTCTCGAAAAAAGGTGCAAAAAGGTTGCTGAGAGTCTCGGCCATTGATGATTTTCGATTATATTACTGTAGCACATTTTGGTTCATACACAGTCTCTGGTAAAGATTATTCTCTATTTGAAGAATTTTGTGTTTCTCAAAGGGTCCAAAAAGGGCCTAAAAAGGGTTCAAAAAGGGTCCAAAAAGGGTGGATAAAGGCCGATGGAAGGACGGAAAAAGGCGATAAAAAGGAAACTGTTTCCAGCCGTTTAGGAACAATTAATGGAAAATTTTTTTTTTGCACCCATAACGGACGCTCAAAGGGCCCCTAAAGGGTCCTTCCGACTAACGATGACAGGTTGATTTGAAAAAAAAAGTGAAGCGTTGCGTGTGCGTCGCGGCTTTTGGCGGGGGAGTCGAGGTCAAACACGAGCTACCTGTTTTAACAATTTTTTTCAATATATTACCATTTTCATGGGTTTGAAAATATTCGGTTGAACGAATAAAGTATAACATTTAACATTTAACATTTATTCAGTCCTCAGAGTAATCATGTATCTGCTGAATCATGGAATATTTGAAGAGATGTTTGTTGGTTCGCGCAACTGTCGCCCATCTTTCACCAAGAACTGCTCGTAGGTCATCTCGCCAACGGGGTTTGGGTCGTCCAACTCCACGCGTTTTCTCCCATGGTCGCCATTCCACGATTTTCTTCGCCCATGTGTCTTCTCCCGTAGCGATCTTCTTTGCGAAAAGCCATTTTCTCTTCACAGCTTCCGACCGAACTTCGCGTAGCTTCAACTTTTCATAGAGCCAGGAGTTTCTTCTTCTGTCGAGCAATGTTACTCCGAGCATCATCGCATCATTTTCCGCTGTGCCGTTGCCAGAAGATTCCTTTCTTTCTTCTTCAGAGTCCAAGTTTCCGAACCATAGAGAAAAGCTGGTTCAATACACATGTTGTATATCTTGGCTTTGTGTATATTGGAAACGTTTCTTCGTGTTAAGTACGTTTTGAACTTGTGGAAGACGCTCCATGCAGAACGAATTCTGCGTTGGATTTCGGTTTTTGAGCCTCTTCGATAAAGTATAAAGTCTGAAAATAAAATTGACTCGTTTTATAAAATTTAAAATGCTGTGGCCCTGTGACTCGGTCAATAACACTAAAAAACTTGGGAAACTAATGTTTCTGTAACTTTTCCAATATGTTTTGTTTTATCCGAGGTTCATCGTGAAATTCGTTTAATTGATAAAAAAATTGAACTTTTTGGAAACTGCAAAAATGGGGGTGTATCTATAATTATGACGCGCAGTGTATAACTTGATGCATTGGATCTTCTGATTTTAGAGTTTTTATCTTGATGATGTTTTTCAAAACTGGAGAGCATCGAAAAGAAGGATATTATTAAAGTTCGAGAAACTTAGGACTCTCTGGATCGGAAGAAACGATCGAAACACATTTTAAAAAAAAAAACGTTTAAAGATTGAAAAAAAGACTCTAGAAAGTCCAAATTTCGCCCAGAAGGATACAAGGGTCCTTTGAAAAATTGTTTCTATAAGGAAAAATTCAAGATCAAGGAAACAAAAATCTACGAGAAAAGTCTAGAAGAACCTAAAAAAGTAGCTTTTTGGAAAAAAAAAGCCTGACCTTTCCTGAACTTTCAGAAGAAAAAAAAGATGAAAAATGGTTTTTAGAGGAACTTTTTACACCTTTTTTTAAGAACTCAAAAAAAGTGCTCTATATATTTTTTTTTCTTTTTAGGGCCTTTTGAACTTTGCCTATGTACTGAAATCCGAAAAATGTATGAATATTCTAGAATAGACATTTCTTCGCATCATTTCCTTTTTTGAAGATTATTAACGTTTCGAGTTGGTTGAATCACGAGATTTTAGGCTTTTTTCTTCTCCCGGATGATTTTGAGTTCTAGGATTTGAACTTTTAAAAAGTCAACTTGATTGCATTTTTTTTCTATCATATTTTGTCCAATTTCATGCTGAAAACTTTGAAATTCTTCCAAAATTCAAAATAATATCTCTCTCAATGATTTCTAAAGGTTATCAACGACCTAAATTGGTCGGGTGACGAAATTTTAGGCTTTTTTCTTTTCCCGGATGATTTTGAGTTCCAGGATTTGTACTATCAAAAAATCAACTTGATTGTACTTTTTTTCATTTTTAAAAATTCTTATTTCGACCAATATCGTGCTGAATAGTTAAAAATTCTTCCAAAATTCAAAATAAGATCTCTCCCAATGATTTCTAAAGGTTATCAACGACCTAAATTGGCCGGGTGACGAAAATTTAAGCTTTCCGCTTTCTCAAGAACACACCAAGTATCATGTTTGACAGCTTAAGGAATGGTTCATTTTTGATAAGGCTTTATTTTGAATCATGAGGTTCTTTGCTTTCTTCTTAGGTGTCGCCTTTGCGCAAACCCAACATCCGGGATGTCCCATCGGTCAGTACGTCTTCGAAAATGTGTAAGGATTCGGATTCACTTTTTATTTATTGAAAGGTTGCTTCAAAGATGAAGGGTTAGAAAGTTAAAAGTCCCGAGAAAAATCTAGCATAACTAAAATTCTGATCCCAAAAAAAATCTTTTCCTTTTTAGACTTTCTGCTGTTAAATCTGCACTTAAGCCTCTTCTAAAATGTATCTCGATAGCTTAAAACATAAATACCAACTCATAACCATAAGAAATTCAATATTTTTCAAAAAACCTCTTCACAGGGGAAGTCATTTTACTTTGGGGCTGGGAATTTCCTGAAAATTGGCCAGAACACTTCTTGATGTACCTGAACACGATTTTGAAAATCTCAACCTGCAGAACTTCCTCGTTTTCGAAAAAAGACGCTCCAAATTCGAAAGAAACCCTCAAAATCCAAAGCCTTGACATAGCCTATTATATGGATTTTGAGAGTTTCCTTTGACTTTGAAGCGTCTTTTCTCAAAAACCAGGAAGTTTTACAGGTTGAGGCTTTCAGAACCTTTTTCTGGTACATCAAGGATCGTTCCGGCCAATTTTCAGGTAATTCCCGACCACAAAGTAAAATTACCTCCATTGTCTGATGCTTTTAGTTGACTTTTTCTTGTTCCACGATTCCCCATATCACTTATCAGAAACCGAAAGAACTGATTTAAACAAAAAAAAAATTTCTCATCAACCGAAAAAAAGTCATTCAGATGCTACGTATTCGTTCGTGAACCATCTGATTTCGATGAAGCTGTTACAAAATGCGGCACGGATGGAAGGGCACTCGTCACCATAACCAACGCCTTTCAGAGCAACTTTTTAATGTGTAAGATTTGAAATGTCCGGAGTGGGAATCAATCATTCGTACACCCAAACTTTCAAAACAAACAAGGAAGGTCATTTTACTTTGTGAGTGGGAAGTTCCTGAAAATTGGTCAGAGCGCTTCTCGATGTACCGGATGGAGATTCTGAAAGTCTCAAACTGCACAGCTGCCTATTTTTTGAGTAAGGACGGCTCAAAGTCGAGAAAGACCCTCAAAATCCGTTAGAATAGGCTGTCTGAGCCCCCGTTTCTCAATAACCGGGAAGTTGTGCAGATTATGGCTTTCAGGATCTTCATTAGGTACACCTAGGAAAGTTCTGGCCGAATTTCAAGGAATTCCCAACCGCCAGTGGAATGACCTCCTTTGTGAGGTGAAAAAAAAACTCGATTTTTTTGTTGATTCGACTCAAAAAGTTCAAATGGAACAGAAAATTGCAGCCGTGGCCGAGGTCGAGTTTTCCGAAACGAACGATCGTTATTGGATTGGCCTCCGCCGAACCACAGATGGTTTCGAATGGATTGATGGTAACGCTAAGCCAACCTACACAAATTGGCAGATGGGTAAACATTTATCTGCGAAACCTTGCGACCGCATTTGGAATGGCTTAAGGTGCTGTGTTCGTTTGAATTCGATCAGTTTTCAAATTTCAGTTTTCTGTGTAAATTCCACATGAATTAGCTCTTCAGTGAAAAAAAATTGTCCATTCATTTCCGTATCTTTCAAAAATTAAAAATACAAGATTTCAGGGTGTTTTTCTGAACAGTTTGAGCTCAAAAAGAAGTATAAAAACTTTTTTTAATTCTCAAAAAGTCTTTCAAAATCGATAACAGTAGTGTCTTCCCCCTCTAAAAATTTCCAAACGCATTCTTTAGTAGTAGAGGAAGGGGGCACCACTAATATCGGTGATAGTTATTGTGTGATTTCAGGAAATATTTGTTTACAAAATGAACAAACTTTCAGTCTTTTTCTTTACCTGGGTGCCCCCCCCAAAGTGTACATTTTGAGCTGCATTTTTTTTTCTACCCGCAAAATTTGTATTCTGGTCGCTTGAAGCACCGTTGAGCCATTCCACGTGCGTCCAGTGCATGAAAAAGTGAAAAAATGCCATTTTTCAGGCCAACCGGATGATTTTGGCAATTGCACCTCTGTGCAGGGCGGTACCGGCCGGTGGCACTCCGAAGATTGTTCCCATTCTTATTCCTACATTTGCTCTGGTGACACTCCTACGACTAGAGCTTCAAGAGCATCGACAAATGCCCCTACTTCGACGAGAAAAGAGTTAGTTCTAGGGGGGTGTCAATGTGGGAGCGGTGACTAGAGGAAGTTTAATGTCAGTCAAGTCCTAAGAAGCTTCTGCTTTCGGTTCCTTAGAAGTTTTACAGCAGATCGTCAAAAACCTTACCCCAGCCTTGCAGAAGCCTGCTGGAAGGCTGCTAGCAGGCCGCCCGCAGTTTTCGATTTTTCTCTTTCCAAGAACCCTCTCAAGACCTTCTAGCTTATTTTTTTTCTTCCCAACACCTTCCCCGGTTTTTTAAGTCCTCGCAGCGCGACTTTTACAACAAATAAAAGACTTTCAAGTCAGAAAATCCAAATAATAACCAAAAATCTTTCATTATTTCAGTCCGACAGTATCTCACGTTGACCCAGGACCATGCAGAGCGAACTGGACCCACTTCCAGAATGACTGTTACTTCGTAAGGCCTTCAAAAAGTCAAAAAAATAAAGTTTTTTGCAGTTAGTACGCTCGGAAGTTATATGGAACGACGCTCAGGCCTACTGTAGGTCGTATAATTCCAACTTGACATCGATTCTCAATGAAGATGAGAACGAATTCATCGTTGGTCAGTTTTTTTTGCTCAATCAAGATCAAACTAGAGGGGGAGGGGGTAAAAAAATTTTTTTCAATAAGTAACTTTTTCATCGAAAAAAAGTGACCATATGACTATATAAAAAAATGAGGTTACAAAATTCATAAAAAAAGCTTTGACGGCTCAGAAAATTTCTGTAAATTTCCGTTTTGGCGCTAATTTTTTGACAGATAGTGGCCACTATAGGGTTTCGAAGGTTTAGTGGCCGCTATAGTAGTCAAATTAGTGGCCACTTAAGGGAATAAAATTAGTGGCAACTATAGAGGTCTAAGTGCTACTACTAGACCACTTAGTGGCCACTTTAGGGGTCAATGGATCAACATAACTGGTCCAATCTGTTTGTTTTAAAATTATCAGAGTTACCGGAAGGAATACTGGATGAAAAACTACTGAAGTGGACACTAAAACGGAACATAGTGGCCACTATAGAGGTGGGTTTAGTGGCCACTTCAGTGTCCTCTTCAAGTAGTCCTTGGCGAGCCTCTTCAGTGGCCACTAAAAAATTTCCCAGGAAAAAGCCAAAAAACGCCAATTTTTCATAAAAAATTATTCAAAATTTCAGCACTCGCCAGTCAAGGCCAACTCGACCAGAACTGGAATGATCAGGGAAGTTGAGCTAATTTGGGAATTTTTCAATAAACTGAAAGTTTTGAATTTAGAAACAGGTATTGAACTTTCTTAAAAAGCCTTTTTTTCGGAAAAAAAAAACTAAAAATTAAAGACCCTCCCTCAAATCAAATAGCAGCTTAATAGAAGGGGAAAATGATGTATTTTCAGACTTGGATTGGTCTGAAGGGTGGTCAGAAGGAGAACCTTTACTGGGCGGATGGAAACTTAGTCCAATTCACCTCTTTTTTTCCCAGAAAGGTGGACGGCCATGCGGTTCTGATTGTCGTTATTTTGTGAGTTTTTACCGAATTTTGAAGTGTTTATGCAATTTTACAGCTTGACAGAGCTTAAAAAATGTAAATCCGAAAATGCGGGGAAAAAAAATCAATATGAACTCCTTTTTTCTCACATCTTCAACAAGAATGACCTGTTTATAGCCGACAGCTTTTCACTATTTTTGAGCCCTTCCCTTCGATGCGCGCAGCCTGTTTCTGTGCATGCGCCTTTAAATTAAGTGATTTCATAGGCAAGGTCGTGAGGAACCTTTAAGGGCCCCTTGAGCATCCGTTTTGGGTCAAAAGGTCTCCATTAATAGTTCCTAAACGGGTGGCAACATTTTCCTTTTTACTGCCTTTTTCCCTCCTTTCATCGGCCTTTATCCACCCTTTTTGGACTTTAGAGAATAATTTTCAAAATTGAAATAATTTTTACAAGTGACTGTGTATGAACCAAAATGTGCTACAGTAATAAAATCGGAAATAATCAATGGCCAAGTCTTTCTTAACGCTTTCTGAGGCTTTTTAGCCCACCAAGGAAGAAAGGCTCAATAAAGGCCGCAAAACGGAATCCTTTCAGCGGCCATTTTGCACCTGTTTCCGATTTTGGCAGTGTTTCAAAGGCGCCTGCACAGAGAAAAACCGCTCCTTTTTAAAAAATGGTAGCACAATGAAAATTCCTGAAAAGGTCCCTTGAAAACTCATTTCAAGGGCATGCTGGAAAAGTCGGTCGGTCAGTTTGGAAAACTAGGCCACGCCGCAATTTTGCTCCTTGGAACACTTAGAATTTCGACTCGGACATTGGCAACGCGAAACGGACGTGCTCCGGACGTTTCTGGGCGATTCAAGGGATCACTTAAGAGGGGTTAAGGCTACTAAAGTGGTCACTAGAAATGCCCCGACACGTCCGATTCGCGTCCCGTTCGCGTTACCAAGGTCCGAGCCCTTTTTCTATATTTTTCCTTCGTTTTTATCAGTTTTCTAGGATATGCGACACATGCTCCTCACTTCAAACTAAACTGTTCCTTATTTATCATTTTTTTTTTTCTCTGGGTAATATTTTACCTTTTGTTGGAGGTAATTTTGTTTCTTGCCTTTTTTTTCTGTATCATAGGTGCCTGCACAGAGAAAAACCGCTTGTTTCGAAAAAAGATGATAGCTCAATGAAAATTCCTGAAAAGGTCCCTTGAAAGCTCATCCCAAGGGCATGCTGGAAAAGTCGGTCGGCCAGTTTGGAAAACCAGGCCACGCCGCATTATTGCTCCTCTCTTGGAACACTTAGAATTTCAAACTTTTTTTTTCTTCTCTGAATTTTTCTTCCTTTTTTCAATTTTACTACGAAGGTCTTCGCTTATTTTCATTCAATTGTATCGTTTTCGCGAGCAAAATACGATCGATACTACATTCAAAACTTGAAACTGATTCAATTTTTGAAAATTCTTATTTATTTTCTTGGATCCAAAATACTTCATCTAACCAAATGAGCGAGATTAAGAATCATAAGTAATCGGAAAATGTCATAATGTGTAAAATGCACACAAAAAAGGCAAGAAACAAAATTACCTCCAACAAAAGGTAAAAAATTACATAGGGAAAAAAAAAAGATAAATAAGGAACAGTTTAGTTTGAAGTGAGGAGCATGTGTCCAATATCTTAGAAAACTGATAAAAAGGAAGGAAAAATATAGAAAAAGGGCTCGGACCTTGGTAACGCGAACGGGACGCGAATCGGACGTGTCGGGGCATTTCTAGTGACCACTTTAGTGGCCTTAACGCTCTTAAGTGATCCCTTGAATCGCCCAGAAACGTCCGGAGCACGTCCGTTTCGCGTTACCAATGTCCGAGTCTAAAATTCGATTTTCCATGGAGCAAAATTTCGACGTGGTCTGGTTTTCCAAACCGACCGACCGACTTTTCCAGCATGCCCATTTCAAGCACTTTCTAACATGTAAAAGTTTATTTTTTGAGCTTACAAGATTTTCTTCTTGCTGTTCAATATGAAAATAACCAACCTTCTCTTCAGATCGTGCCAGACGGCGTACAAGGCGACGATTTGGCCAATTGGTTCTACACAGACCCGACGGACGTGCAAAGCTCGTACATTTGTAAAAAAAGCCCGCTTATTTGAATTGAAATGAAAATTATCGAAAAAAATTCAAATACTTCTATTGCCTTCAGAAGAAAGGAAAATAATTGAAGGAAAAAAAAACTACAAAAAATATTTTTATAAGGATCAACAAAATTTACAGCCACATATAAATCTCATAAAATCTCTAAAAATCATGGAAAATTATTTTTTGTAGCCTGGTAACATTAAAATCTCAACAGCCACATTAGGGTCAGAGAAAAAATTCAGGAAAAAATTTTAGAAAATTACTATTTTTACAACAAAATCAACAGTCAGGTTAGGGTCAAAAAAGCTGGAAAAAAACCTAGAAAAATTAATTTTAGGCACAAATCTCAACAGTCCGATTAGGATCAAAAACGTTCAGGAACAATAAAAGGGGATGAAACTTAGGAAAATCCAATGAGCTTAAGGTTCGTTAACTCTGACTTCAGCCGTTCTACCGTTGAGCGTTTTTTCGGCCTCCATTCGGAGATAAACGGGCCGGAAAAAGGCCAAAAGAAGACAGGGCAAGGCGGCGGCGACGATCGAGAAGATCTGCGGATTTTTTTTTTGCAAATATATTCATTTTTTTTTTCACTCATGGATGGGCTAGTGCAGAAATCATTCAGCCCGGGAGGCTTACAAGAATTTCGGGAAATTAAGATTAAAATTAAATTTCAACCTCAGGGAGGTAATTTTGGCCACAATAGTACAAGTTTTTAGCCTCAGGGAGGTAGTATTAGCTTCAAATTAGGAAAAACTTGGGGGTCAAAATTGGCCTGTCCATGTAAGCCTCCATTTAACCATGTACTGGATTTTTAAAAAAAATGTGGAGTAATAAAATTCAGAAAAAAAGTATCACGAAATGAAGAAAATCGATGTCACACTAATTACAAAATTTACAACACCTGACCAAAAAAAGCCATTTTTCCGAGAAAATATAACTTTAAGAGGCCTAATTTTTGTTCCTAATATGCATTGAAGAAAGCATTTATTAATTTAATTCAATTTTCTGGTTTTATCAGCTTATTTTTTTATAATTTACTTCGGCTAGGAAGCGTCAAATCTGGATCTAAAGTTCAAAAAAACAACGAAATTTGATCGGCTTAAGATCAGGAATTAACCCGACTTCTTAAAAATTTCTACCTTTTTAAAAATATCAATATATTTCTCATGGTTAACGTACTCCAAGAATCAATTTGCTATAAAATATAGATTTTTCAAGCGCCTCCAGATCTTAGGAATTTAAAGAGTGGTCCCTTTCGGGGTTATGGATAAAACAGCCCCTATAGGAACCGAAAAAAAGTGGTCTCTATAGGTGTTTATGATCTGACCCCTTAGTCCCTGAAGATCAAGTGCTCCCTATAGGGGTCAATCAGATTAATTCAAAAAAAGATTACTTTTTTTATTTTTTTCGCATGAAAAACGCTTCTTCGCATAGAGTTCATAAAACTTATCGACTAGAATGTCCCCTGTAGTGGCCACTTTTTGCAAGCTTTAGAGTCCCCTATAGGGGTTGGTAAAGTGGTCCCTAGAGAAGACCCTCTCAGGGCCCCTGAAGTTGCCCCTATAGGGATCACTCTGGTGTTTCTAAGAAAAAATTATTTTTCATATTACAACCTTCTATTCAAAATGAGCCAAAAACCGATGTTTCACGAAATTTTCATCGATTGGAAAGTAAAAACCCACAAAAATGGAAATCATGTAATCGTTGGCATCATTCACACCATCCGAATTATGAACTTTGCAGACCTAGAAAAATTCCGTTTATTTTTTTTTAAAAAGTCCAAGTTTTATCAACCTGAAGGTGCATCAAATTAGGGGCCAGCGGTTTCTTGAGAGAATCAAAGACAAAAATGAACAGAGAGGACAGGGCCTGAAAACCAATCAATTTCCTACCTGATAAATTAATTACCTGTCCAATCAAGACGATAGAACCTGCAGAAATGGCTTCAGGAACCGGATAAGTACATTCAGCCGCCAGTTCGAGTCCAATGGGATAAACGGCGAGGCCGAAAAATCCAAAGAAGAAGCAGGTGAAGATCAAGGCGAAGGCAATGTTGGGAGTCGTGGTGAGCTTGAAAGTCGAGAAAAATTGAAAAATGGCAAAAAAAGGGATATAAAATGTTTTTCGCGTGAGAACAGCCACGTCTTCAAGGAACAGACTGGTAAAATTTTGATTGGCCACTATAGTAGTCAAATTAGTGGCCACTTTAGGGGTCAATGGATCAACATAACTGGTACAATCTGTTTGTTATAAAATCATCAGAGTTACTGGAAGGATACTGGATGAAAAACTACTGAAGTGGCCACTAAGTAGAGAACCTCTAAAGTGGCCACTAAACGGAAAATAGTGGCCACTATAGAGGTGGGTTCAGTGGCCACTTAAGTGTCCTCTCCAAGTAGTCCTTGGCCAGCCTCTTTAGTGGACATTCAAAATTTTCCCAGGAGGACAGAAAAAAAAGACAAGCCTGCTGGAAAAGTCGGTCGGATCGGACATCTTTTCAAAGTGGCCATTTTTCGAAAATTTAGAAGTTTTTTCAGTTTTAAAGTGACCAAAAGGCGTAAAATTCTCGATTTTGGTTAGGTTTTGAACTTTTAAAAACCAAGGCTCGAAATAGAATATTTTGAGTTTTTTTTTTCAATGAATTTCACGTCAATCTTTTTAATTTGATCTAAATTCGAAATGTGTCAAGTATGAGCATTTGTCGGCGAAAATGCAGACAAAAAGTTAATTTTTGTAAAACATAATGGCCAGAATTCGACTTCCTAATGAGTAAATAGGTAAAACCGTTAAAATATTTATAAAGCCCAAAAAACTTTTCAACTTTTGAGAATTTGAAAAAATAGGTGTCATGAAAATGTGACCTCTCCAGCATGTCAGAAAGACATTATTAATAAAGTGAAATTCGCATTTTTGCTCTACAAAACTGCAAAAGGGTCTCGAAGCAAAAATTGGTCCATTTTGGTATACGGCCTTTTTTGAAAATGAAAAATTGGAGCGGAATGGGCGATGATTGCTTACCTGATAAGGTACTATTTGAAAAAAATTTTTCCAAGATTTCTTTTCTTTAATTTTCGTTTTTTTGAGTCCAAAATTTATCTTTGCAATTCTTTTCGAGCTTATAAAAATACGACCATTAGCGTTTTTAAACCGCAAAATTCGAGTAAAATTAAATTTTAAAGCTTTTCAGAGCTTAAAAAAATGGAAAGATCACGCTTTAAATACATCTTTATAGTGCGACTGGCGGGAGCATACATGGGCTAACCAACTACTTTTTGTGACGTCACCACGTGCCCCCCTCCCTTGAAAAAAAGTATGTAAGGAATAATTTCCGAATTTCCAAGCTTCCCGACGTTTTTTTGACCAAGTTGCAATGTTTCAAAATTATTTAATTAACAAAAAAATTAATTTTCTTAAATCTCATCCAAACGGCTTGAAACTTAGCCAGATCATTAAATTCACTTTATAATGTAGAATAAAATTGAAAGCAGATCGAATTTCGGATTTTGGGGAGTACGGGGGGTATGCAAACCATTAAGTGATAACACTTTGACACACTATAACTTGGTCAAAAATCGCCCAGAAGCTTGGAAATTCGGAGAATATGCCTTATAAGGTTAACTCAAGGTTAATAATGATTTTGAACCAAAAAATTGTAAATTTCCAGAAATCATTTTCTTATGGGGTCAGAAATGGATCAGAAAGCCACCTGAATGAATAGGGGGCACGAAAGTGAAAAACACCCTGTTAGCCCATGTATAGGCGGACGACTATCACGTTTTAAAGTAACCGAAAAGAAAAATCCACCGTAAACCCAAACGTTTGAACTACAAACCTACTAAAAACACAGCCAAAAAGCGATGGTCTTGACGCGAAAATGCTCAAATTTGATCTAACGATATTTCAAACGGAAAAAAGACAAGCTGACCCTGAATGTACTATATCATCGAATACCTGCAAAAAGGTGATGCCAATGACGACGGCGATTCCCAGGCCAACCTTGACCGTCTCATTGTACTTTCTGGTCTTTCCAACGAAAATTCCGCTCAGAGTTGCCCCAAAGACTCCTCCAATGATGAGAGCCGAAGAACAGAATCCGGCAATCATGTTGGAATAACCGGTTGGGCACAAGATTTGCTGGAATGTTTATATTTTCATAGAATAATCCTACTTTTCTTTAAAAATCTTGTGCGCGCATGTTTAAGACAGTCATAGGCAAAGTCGGAAAGGGTGGAAAAAGGCTCCTTTTTTGCTGCCTTTTTGCGCCATTTCATGGGCTATTGTGCACCATTTTTGCTGCCTCTCCTTTCTCCACCATTTCTTGAGCCTTTAAAACCCCCAAAAAAAAAGTGGAAGGCTCGATAAAGGGACTCTTTTTGATGCCTTTTCGCGACCTTTTTGCTGCCATTTTACTAACATTTTGCTGCCATTTTGCTACCTTTTCGCGGCCTTTTTTGAGCCTTTTAGCGGCCATTATCCACTACTCCAACTTTGCCCGAGGTGCTACGGACATTGCGTCAGTAACGGAGCCAGGAAATTATTTTTAAAAGTTTTTTTTTTGCAATTTCTAGGGACCTATTTCTCGAGTTTAAACGATAATTTTAGTCAGAAAAAGTTCACAAGCTCTCATTTTATTACCGAAAAACCTATCTAAACTACCGTAATACGACCGGCCACCGTAAACAGGCCCACAGGCAAATTACACAAGTACTTTTTGAAAAAGACTTTTAAAAGACCTCCAAGGCAACTTTTTTCTGAAAAAATACCTTTTAAGGAGCTAAAAAGAAAGAGGCAGAAAAGGGTGAAAAAAAGGAGATTCCGGGAAACATTTGACACCTTTTCCGGAACTCCCAAAAAGGTACTTCAAACGTTTCTTTTTGAGGCATTTTTGAGGTCCTTTGGACTTTGTCTGTACACGAAAAGTAGGGATTCTCAAAATTTTCGCTTGAAATTTACGCTAAATTTTTTTTAACTCGTCGAAATCCTCTTGAAGTCTTTTTTGAACATAACACTTGCTCATTTTTTGCGAATTTTGACAGTATAAAAACACAAGCATCACTAAAAACCCAGGCAAAGTCCAAACGACCTCGAAAATGCCCTAAAAAAAGGGCCTAAAGCTTCTTTTTGAGCTCCTAAAAAAGGTGTTGAAATTTTCTCGGAATCTCCTTTCTTTCGCCTTTTTTTACCTCCTTAAAAGGTCCTTTTCAGACAAATGTCTTGTAAAAAAAGCGTTTTGGAGGTCTTTTTTCCAAAAATCTTTTTTTAGACCATTTGGACTCTACCCGTGAAGTTGAATTATTGATTTATAGATTTTTACAAAAAAATTTTGTCCGGTAACTGAAATATAGTGGTTCCATGGCTTTCCCAAGAAGAAAAACGTAAAAACCCCAAAAATTTCGTCTGTTCACCAAAGCGAATTTTTTTAACTATCGAAAAAAACATTTTATTGATTTTTTTCTACTACTTTCCGAGATTAAAATCTGTTATGATCGTTTCAAAAATCTCAAAACTCTGTTTTTAAGTACATATAAACAACTATGACGGAACGATTTTTGTCCAGCTATCAGAATACTTAAGCTATCCCTGAAACGTAAGTGTAATTGTGACTTTTTTTTTTCAAAATGAAGTCTTTTTGGCAACTTTCTTCATGCATTTCCTAGTTCAAAAAGCGCTCAATTTTGACCTTTTCGGGGCTATTTTTCTTCTTTTCGTCGCGTTGAAAAACCTACAGGCATGACGGTATAAAGACAATTGAACAGTCCGATTCCCGAAGCCAAAACGATCAGCAGAACGAGGTAAGAAGGCGTCAAAAAGCAGGATTTCAGGCCGTCGAAAAACTCCATGTGTTGTTTCGCAGCGCTCAGAGAAGGTGGACTCGGTGGATCGCTTGACAAAAACTCCGGTCTGAAAAAAATTCACCTTTTTTTCTCAAATTCACTCCATTTTTGCTATTTTTTTCAAGATAAAAAAAGACTAGAAATTTATAAAATATTTAATTTTTAAGCTGACTCTTTTTGTCATCTTTGAACGATAAAAAGGGATAGAAGTTGATTTATCCGTCAATATCTTATTTTTTCATGTTCATCTGCAGTAGATTTTCTAAAACAGAAGGCTAACCAGAGAACCCTTTTACCCGCTTTGCTGAGACCCTATTCAATTTCAAGTCAGCAAAACGCCTCAAGAAATCGGAAATTTTCATCTTTTAGAGCTTCAAAATACAATTTTTCAAGAAAAAGGTTAAAGAATTCGTTTTTCCTCCTTTCTTGACTGAGAAACTCATGATCCCCTGAAAATAGGCTAGAAAAAAAAATCTGGAAGATCCGTAATCTCAAGAAAGTTCTTACAGCTTCCCAAATGATTTTAGAATCTGCTAAAAATGATCTGAAGCCCTCATTTTGATATTTCAACCTGACGAGAGATACATTTCAACCCGAATTTAACAGCAAAAAAAATTTCTCGCAGTAGATCTGGTTTTCAAATTGAGAAAACGTTTCCTAGTGAGCTTAATTTCGAATTTTTTTCCCATTTCTAGCTTCGAAATTGGATCGAAAATACCATTTTCAAAAAATTTGCTCAGGACTGTTCCAGCCCAGCTATACTTCTTCATTTATTTTTTTAAATTCATATGACTTTTTCAGAAACCTTTTAAGAAACCTTCATCAAATAAAATTATCAACCTTGAAATCAATAATAACTATTTTCATCTGAATTTTGAATCCTTCGTTTTCAAATTTTTCTTATATATTCAAAAACCGGACGGGGGGGCGGGGACTGGACGGGGCGGGGGTTAAAAAACGTTCCCTAGTGGGCCAAATTTCGAATTTTCTCATGGAAAAAAATGAATTTTTCGATTTTGAACCTATTTTTCAGCTTCAAATTTGGATTGAAACGCCCTTTAAAAAAATTGCAAAAAGAAAAAAAGTCCAGCTGAAATCCTCCAATTATTTTTTTCAATTTCATAAGAATTTTTCAAAAATCGTTTAAGAAATTTTCACCAAAAAAGATAACAACAAATGAACCTTTTAAATCAATAATAACTATTTTTCATCTGAATTTTGAATCCTTGGTTTTCGAATTTTCCTACATATTTATTACTTTTTTTAAGTTTATAAGAATTTTTCAAAAATCGTTTTAAGAAACTTTCTTCGAACAACTAGTGATGAATGAACCTTGAAATCGATTATAATTATTTTTTTATTCGAATTTTAAGCCCTAATTCCCCTAAATTCTGTCCAAATGCCCCATAAACTTACAAGAGTGATGATAGCCGCGGTCAAACATGCGACAAAAAAACGATCAAATTCAGGGGAAGCATATCCTCGGGCTTGTGAACAATTTGCGGGACGATCAAGTTGACCAAAAGGATTCCGAATGGATTCGCCAGCACGGCGATTGAAGTGGCCAAGGTTCGCTGTGTGTCTGGGAACCAGGAAGCCGCCAGCTAAAAATTCTTATGATTTTTAGATTTGTAAGAAACTGAACAGTAAAAAAATCAAGTTTTCAACTGGAATTTACTCCAAAGTCATTAATTTTGGAGCAAATTTTTCATCGCGATTCAAGTCGGAAAAAAATTGTAATTTCTCTTAAAAATGAAAAAAATTTTTCTTGAAGAAAGGGACAGTAAAAAAATAAAAATCACTATAAAATTGCCCTTTCTTCAAGTTTCCGACTCAAATTTGCACCAAAGTTAGTTATTTCAGAGCAAATTTTTATCGCAATTCCAAAAAAAGCCTTATAATTTTTAAAATTGAAAAAAAGTTTACAGTAAAAAGGGACAGCAAAATTGAAAAATCACTATAAAATAGCCTTTTTTTCAAAATTCCAACTCCAATTTGCCCGAAAGTCAGTAATTTCGAGCAAATTTTTATCGCAATTCAAAAACCTTATATTTTCACTTGAAATTGAAAAAAATGTTTTTATGAAAGAAATTAGTAATGAAATTGACAGTAAAAAAAGTGAGGTTCGCTATAAAACTGTCCTTTTTTTCTAGTTTTGAACATGAAGTTGCACAAAAATTCCGTAATTTCGAAGCAATTTCAATTTATTAAAAAAATTTTTGGATGCCTGCCAAAAAGCGCTAACGTAGCGTAATGTATCACAAAATTATCTCTAAATTTTCTCGTTTTATTTCTGAAAAATTGCTAGTTATGGTCATCAAGTTCTCAGCCGGGCGAGCCTCGGAATAAGGTTTAATTGCAAAAATATAAAAGAATGGCTAGTTAAAATTGATGATTTTCCCAAGTTCTAACATAAAAAATTGATGAATTTTCCAAGTTCAAAAATGAAAAATTGATTTTTTTTTCAATTTTTCAATATCAGAGCGTTTTTTTCAAGAATACATCGTAAACCCAGAATATTATTTCACGGATTTTTGTTTGACACACTTTTTGATGTCCTGTTGTCTTCAGCTTGAAAAAGATTCCAAATTTGATAGAAAAATTTAAAATTTTAATAATGGCTAATGAAAATTTGATGATTTTTTTCCCACTTTTTAGCATGAAAAATTGATTATTTTGGGACTCCTTCAGCTCTTATAACACTTTATTAAGCTTTGAAAATCACTTTTTCAAAAAAAGGAGTCTATGCATAAGGCGTAAATGACCTTCTAGACACTGAAATGAATTAACTCAATTTACTCCAAAATTATAAAATTTTGCGAAATTACAAGTAGAGCAGTGCAAAAAAAACAAAAAAATGACAAATTTCATCATTCAGCCTCATTTTCCACGTTTTTAAATACGAAAATTGAGAACCTGACAAGGTATGAACATGATAAACGGAAAGGCGATCGAAGCAATGGCTTGGCCAAAGATACAAACGGCAAAACGACGACTTTCCGGCACAACAGAATCAACGGACGAGAAAACGCGGATCCAACTTCCAGTCACATTCATGATGGCTGAAATTTTTACCAATTTCATCTAGAAAATCGTTGAAAAATGCATGTTACAAGCTCGGGCAATGTCGGAATGGTGGATAATGGCCGTTAAAAGCTCAAAAAAGGTCGCTAAAGGGAAGCGAAAAGGTAGAAAAAAAGCCGCAGAAAGGCAGCAAAGAGAGTCCCTTCATCGAGCCTACCATTTTCCTGGGATTGTAAAGGCTCAAGAAATGGTGAAAAAAGGGAGAGGCAGCAAAAATGGTGCATAAGGGCTGAGAAAATGGCGCAAAAAGGCAACAAAAAGGAACATTTCTATGGAGCCTTTTTCCCCCCTTTCCGACTTTGCGTATGAACTTTTTTTTTTCTTTCTCTACTGGAAAATTTGTAGTGGCCACTATAGAGGCTTGCCAAGGACTACTTACTAGGGAACTACTCAGACTCCGGTAAGCGTTTCGAGTTGAAACTTTGGTGGTTTATAGACCCGGGTAAGAGTACTTGAAAGCAAGAAAGATTATCTGCTAAACCTCATAGGCTTCTGAGAAAAAGCTTTTGGAAAATGAACAGTTTAGGCTTGAAAATTATCAAATTTTGCCTTCCTTCTTCTTTTGGCTGGGAAAAAGTTTTTTGGAGTGTATCATAGCTGTATCATCCAAGGCGATTTTATTAAAATATAGAATAAGGTTAAAATCAGTATACTGAAAAATTTCAGGCCTAATTTTCACATTTTCTTCTAAATTTTTCTCAGTTCTTTATGGGGTTAGCAGATATTCTCTCTTGTTTTCAAGTATTCTGACTGAGGTCTTTAAACCACTAAAGTTCCAACTCGAAACCCGTACCCGAATCCGAGTAGTTCCCTAGTTAGAGAGGACACTAAAGTGGCCACTAAAATCACCTCTATAGTGGACACTTTAGAGGTTCTATATTTAGTGGCCACTTCAGTAGTTTTTCATCCAGTATTCCTTCCATTAACTCTGTTGATCCATTGGCCCCTAAAGTGGCCACTAAAAATTTTTAGTGGTCTAGTAGGAGCACTTAGACCTCTTTAGTGACTACTAACTTTTAACCTTTTAAGTGGCAACTAATTTGACTACTACAGGGGCAACTAAAACGTCAAAACCCTATAATGGCCACTGAAAATTTTCCCAGTAATCTGAATTGACTTCAAAAATTTTATCACGCTTTTTTTGAGTTTATGATCAAAGTGAACTTTTTAGGCCTACTATTGGTCTCTGAATTAATTATAAATCATCTGAACCTCCTCAAGGACCAAAATATGATATAGATTGCAAAGTGTATCCTATCAAAAGTCATTCAAAAATATTTTCTTGAAAAAAGGACGAGAGAAAATTGGAAAAATTGCATTTTCAAAGCCTGAGACCCAACTTTTTGTCATTTCATTCAAATTTCTCACCAGAAATATACATAGTCGTCCTGATTCCGAACTTTCTTCCGACCCACATGGCAAAAGCACCGACTGGAACCGTAGGGATCAAGAAAGCCATAGTAAGCCTAAAAATGGCCAATTTTTCCGGGAAATCAGTCTAAAAAACCGAGTGGAACTTTCAGCTCCGTAGAAAATGTTGGCGAATTTGCTGGCCGGGGCGTAGCCGAGCCAGGACATCGTGTTGGAGACGTTCATCAGAACCAAGGCCAGCAAGAAGATCCATCTTCGACGGTAGACGATCAGTTCGAAGGTTGGAGCTGTTGTTGGACGGGGGATGTCGAGAAACGCCGAAGACTAAAGGGAAAAAAAATGAATGAAATCGAATCACGGGCAAAGTCCAGATGGTCTCAAAAAGGGCTTTCGGAAAAAGACCTTTTTTTCTAGACATTTTTTGAACAGCTTTTTTTTAGGAGGCGGAAAAAAGGTGGAAACAGGTATTCAGATCGTCTAGAGCAATTTCAACAAACCCCACTTTACATTAGACGAGTTATTTCTGATCTCCTCACTCTCCAAAAAATTGTTTCTGGTCATGATCACTTTCCTCAATTCGAAAATTTTGCCCTCAGATCCAATTTAAGGCGAAATCCCCTTCGGCTACGTTCTCAAGGTCAGTTTTCTAACAACTTTTTCTTCAAAACGATTCCTATTTGGAATAAACTTACATCCAAATATCAGTTCACCCTTCCACCTAATTCTTTGAAAAAATTATTGGTCGTTTTACCTCGCAACGAATTTTTTACCTCTATTCCACCAAGACTCAACTGATCTCAACTTTTTTTTCCTTATCTAAATTGTAGATCGAAGTGAACTCGTTGGGGTTCACACTGATCTGTGAATATGATATTATTATTATTATAAAAAAGGAGATTCCGAGAAACTTTTGTCACCTTTTTAAGAACTCAAAAAGGAGCTTTCGGCTCTTTTTTTAAGGTCGTTTGGACTTAGCCTGTGATTAAAATTGAAGAATCAGACTTCAATAATTCGACAAACCAATCAAGTTTATTTGCGACAAAAAAAAAAACACATTTATAGACCATTCCGCGCCAGCTTGTCACGTTATTCTTCCCGCCAAAAAGATCGTATTCCAAATTAGATCAAATTTCTGCTTTTTAAACGGCAAGAAACAAAGGTGTTGAAGCGAATTTGGTCAAATTTGACCTGGCCTTTTGGCGGGAAGAAAAACGTGACAAGCTGGTGCGGAATGGCCTATAGACAGTTTTTCTTCAAATAACTAATACTATAGTTCGTTCCGCGGGAAAAGGTCACTTTTAAACATAACAGAATAGAAAAAGATACCGTACATACAAACCTTTGCTTTACAAAACTGCTAAAATTACAGCAAAAAACAAAGTTCTTGAAGCGAAGATGCTTTATTTTGATGGTATACGGTTTTTCGGGAAAAACGTGACAATCTGGCACGGAATGGGCTATAAGAACATAAAACAATTTGAAAAACAAATTTTTCCTTTAGAAGTCAAAAATTGTTTCAATTCACGTTTTATGCATCAAAAATAGTCTTTTCACTCATTAAATATTACCATTTTACGATAAAAATACAAGAATTAAAAATAGGCAATCAAAAATAGGCATCAAAAAGACAAACCTTGACTTTCGCCTTTTCGGTCGGGGAATCCATAGTCGATTCAAATTGAAATTTTCCCACAATTGTGAAAGAACAATCCAACTGAAATGAATGAAGAGGTCAGACATTATTTGGGAAAGAGAAAACTGTCTGATTGTCCTTTATTTCAAACATTTCTTTAGGGGCTCATAAATAAATATTCATCAATGCATCGCGTGACATTGTTTCGTCTCGAAATGAAGAGACGTTTTGAAGGAAATTGCCAAGAATATCAAAATTTATGTACAAGATTTTTTGAGAGAATGATAGAATAAAGAAAATTCAAACTGTGAAAAATGCACATCATGGGCGAAGTGCGGGCCAAAAGGAACTTAGAATAAAATTGATAATTTTCAACAAATTTCAAAAAATTGACTTGAAACATTCAAAACTCAAAAATTGATCATTATAGCTGATTCACGGCCAGCTTGGGACGCTACAGGGGCGTGTCCTGTCTGCGCTCTCCACGAGCCAGGCGCTATCTCGTGCCTTATCGTGTCAGGACCCTTTTTTCGATGGCTCAATCTAGCCATGAATCAGCTTCATGAGAAGCGCCTGAATTTTCAAAGAAAATATTTGCAAAAAAGGCAACAAAAAGCAAAAAGCTACGAAAATTCAGTTAAAGAGTTAATTTAAAATTTTCTAGGCCCTGGACTTCACCCGCACAACTTCAAACAAAAAATGGTGAGAAAATGCAAAAATAAAAATCTGTGGAGAATAAAAATTGACAAGAATGAGACAATTAAACAACAATTTTCTCAGTTATTCGTGTTAAAATCGGTTGATTTGTAGTTTCAATTGACGTGATAACGAGATATCTCTTCTCAGCTTCCATTCTCAGGTAGACCGGCTTGAAAAACACGAAAAGAACGACCAGTAATAGTAGTGCAATAAAGGAGAGAGCCTGAAAAAGAACAAATTACAGAGAAAAAAGAAAATATGGGTTACAAAATAAGAAAAAGTATAGTCCTTGGGAACATTGAGCAAATCGTTCTCATCAACCCGGCAAACCTGAAAAAAGTCAATTATGTTACTTTTCTTGTCTCATGGAAAAAAATCATTTTCACAAAATGTACCTGCAAAAACATCCGATCCGAGGGCAATTCCCTGGCCAAAGAATGAAGAATTTTGACCAAAATCGTGGTAAAAGCCTCAAAAAGTTCATTTTTTCCTAGTTTTTGAAATAAATAACCAACTTGGCCAGCCAGAACAATGAGTCCAGAAGACGTGGATTCAGAAGCGGGATAAGTGCATTCGGCGGCCATTTCGAGGCCAACCGGGTACGCGGCCAAGCCGAACATTCCAAATAAAACAGCGTTAGTTATGATAAAAGTTTCGAGGCCGGAATTGAGGGTAAACTGAAAATGAATTATGGAAACATAAATTTCGACGGAAAACCTGCAAAAAGGTGATTCCAAGGAAGACGCCCATCACCATGGCCATTTTCAAAGTTTGATGATAATTCTTGGTGTAATCCACGTAGAGTCCGCTGACAGTGGCGCCGAACATTCCTCCCAGTATCATGGCCGTCGACGACATCCCAGAGAACTCACTGGAGTAACCGGAGGGGCATAGGAGTTGCTAAATATAATTAAATACAGGTTTATAGTACCCAGCTGAAGTTAGGCGCAGACTTTTGGGTTTAGGCTGGGTTGAAAAAAAAGGGCGTTGTGATAACTTTTTCTCTAACTAGGGAACGTTTTTTACCCCCCGGTTGAACTTTTGCTGAAACTTTGCTGAAGTGTACTTTAGGACCTCCTGATTTCCGAACAGAAAGAAAACTTCTCGCAATAGATCTCGTTTTCGAGTTATGGAACTTCAAAAACCCAAAATAGCGCTTTTCGGCCTAATTTGTGCATTTTGCTCACTTTGAAGCTCCATAACTCGGAAACAAGATCTATTGCGAGAAATTTTTTTCTTGTTGTGCAATCAGGCAGTCATAAAGTACACTTCAGCCAAGTTTCAGCAAAAGTTCAACCGGGGGGTAAAAACGTTCCCTGGTAAATGAAATACGTTGTAAAAACAATTAAAAAAATAAAATTGAATAGCATCATTCGAGCCGTTTTCGAGGTACGGTAGCTCAAAGGATTACGGTGAATAACTTCGAACATATCTAACTCGGCAAAAAAATAAAATCAACGAATCTCGATCAAAGCAAAATAATTTTATTCAAATTTTTAAAATCTTACAGCTCATTATTGCTCATGTTAGAGAATTTTTCTTGAAAAATTCAAAACCAGTATATTGCGTTGCGAACCGGCGTTTTCTCTTGTTTTATCAAAACCACAAAAAATACTCTATCTGTTGGGATAAACCTTTTTCCGTCCTCTCATCAGCCTTTATCCACCTTTTTTTGGACCCTTTTGAGAAACACAAAACTTTTAAAATTGAGAATAATCTTTACCAATGGCTGTGTATGAACCAAAATGTGCTACAGTAATAAAATCGGAAATCATCAAGGGCCGGCACTTTCAGCACCCTTTTTGAGGCTTTTTAGCCCACCATGGAAGAAAGGCTCAATAAAGACCGCAGAACAGAATCCTTTTAGCGGCCATTTTGCACCCGTTTTCCGCACTTCTGACTTTAGAAGTGTAAGCGTTTTATGAAGAAAAAAATCCAAATCACTTGCAATTAAAGTTAAAATGAGATGAAAAAAAGAAGAAACAATGAAAGTTCGAAAATGTATTGTTAAAAATCATTCCAAGCTCCTGAACATAATTTTTTTCAATGTATTATCTTCTAGAAGATTTTTATAGGAATCAATCTTCCTGGAAGGAAAAAAACAAAAAATCCTTAAACCGGTTCTCAACCTTATTTATTCTTTTCACCTTATGGATGAATAAATTATCATTATTAAAACTGACCAACATCACCGTGTACAAGCAATAGAACATGCCCATGCCTCCAGAAAGGACGAACATGAGCGAAACATATGTGAATGACGACAAACACGCTCGAACGCCTTGGAAGAAGCCCAATTGTTTGGATGCCGCGCAATGGCTTGGCGGCAAAGAAGGATCACTGGACGTTACGCTAATCTGTAATAATAAATGACTAATAAATATATATTGAAAAAGAGCAGGAAATATATACAACGGATCAAAAAAGAAAAAAATCTTGTTTTCTCTACAGCTTTTGCTCATGAAGCTTTTGAAAAGCCTTTGCTCAAAAAAATTTTTTTTTAATTTTTAGTTTTTTTCTTTAACTTGTTTGGAAGATTTTCTCAAAATCCGCTTTGTAGTATTTCTGTAATTTTTGGTTCTTCAATCAACATCCTATAATGCGCTACAAACAAACCGCATAAACTTATTCAAGCCTTGAGAAAAAATTAGGTTTTTTGAACTTTTTTATGCTATCAAAAACCCGATCAAGTCCTAAAAAAGCACAATGAACTCACAATCGCGATAAACATGGCGAAAACACATGGGAAAGAGACGAAAACGTTGAGTAGGAGCATATCCTCCGGCTCATGCACAATCCTGGGCACGATTTGATTGACAATTAAAACTCCGAGGGGATTCGCCAAAACGGCCAAAGTTGTGGCGAGTGCCCGCTGTGTGTCCGGAAACCATTTGCCGGCCGTCTAATTTTTCATTTTTTTTAAATATTTTTCATGAAATTTTCCCACTTGGCAAGGTAGGAACATTGTGAATGGGTTGGAAACGGATGCGAATGCTTGACCGAGCAAGCAAACATTAAAACGATGCTCCACTGGGACCAATGACGAAACGGAAGATATGACCCGGATGACGCTGCCGATTCCGTTGAGGACAGCTGCAAAAAAGACTTCCTCAAGTTCAAAAAATCAAGAAACACACCAGATATATACAGAGAAGTTCTCAAACCGAACTTTCTGCCGGTCCACATCGCCAAAATTCCGATTGGTAAGGAACAATACATGAAGATCATTGAAAACCTTCAAAACTGTTTTTCAAAACACGTTTAAAAAAAAATAGACCAATCAGCGCTATCTTTCCCATAGTAGATATTGACATAATTGAATGCTGGAGCGAATCCAAGCCAGCTGATTGTGTTAGAATTGTTGACCAAAATAACCGAAAGTAAAAGGAGCCATCTTTGTGGGTAAACAGCCAATTTCGGTAATGAAATTGGTGGAGCGACTGGCTCCAACCCTTCACTGGTTTCCAACTGTAAATAAAATTAAAATGAATGAAAAATTTCTTTAACCTACTTCTAACTTTGAACTAGATTCGTGAAAATCTGACATTCACAGAAAAAAGTAGCCGTTAAACAATGGAAAGGAGTCCTGAAAAACTCAAAAAATCAGTCAGAATCAAAAAACTAAGCCGAAAAGGAAGAAAACTTCTGTTATTACTTCTGTTGACAAAGTTTTTGGGGCTTTAAAGTAAAGCCTTTCAAGCCAAGTAAAAAAAAGCAAGTGTTATTTGAAACAATACTGAACAGAAAGAAAAAGTGTTGAGATGTTCAAATGAATGACAAGTGACAAGTGAAAGGTGAAAAAAAAACAGACAGAAAAAAGAAAAGCAGAGAAGCTTCTCTGGAGAAAATGGAGAATGGAGAAAAAAAACAGAATCAGTTTATTAAAGGCGCACATAGCGAATTAAAACGGATGTTTCACCACAAAGAGCCAAAGTCTAAAGCAGGGTAAATTTACATCTATCCTCACTTTTAATACAATTTTTTTCTTTTGTTTTTGTTTGCCGCTTCTGATTATCTTGGCTTCCACTGAGAAAACATGTTTGGACACAACTCTTTTTGAAACGCGCAGAAAAAGTTCTGCTTGCGATATGTATGAAATCTCCTCGTTTCGCCGCTCGTTCTGCTGGATGTCTTCCTTGCGCAGCTATTAATCTTTTTTACTGCGTTCTATGAAACATCAGAGAACAAAAGAGTTTTGGCCCAGGGTGTTGATTGAGTTTTGAAAGAAGCTATTTTGACAGCTCCGGGTCGGATTTCACAAATCACCCGCATGTTGCATGGATATTGTTTTTCGACTGAAAATACAAAAAAAAAAGATTAGGGATGAAGAAGGCGACTTTTTATGAATATGCAGAAGATTTCCATTAATCTTAACTTCTATTTGAAAGCTTGAATGCTGGAAAAAATTAAAAACCATTCTTTTTTTAAGCGAATCGCTGTGAAACGACAGAAAAATTTTTAAAAATCTTTTTCGCTTGCTAAAATCCAATTTTTGTATCTTGATTATCCTGTGTTTTAATATAAATCGAATTTTCCAAAAATTCGGTTAGCTTCAAAAACAGATTCGAGTAATTTTTTTAACCTGTGGTGTCCCAATGAATGAAAAAACTTTGAATTTGACGCTTTTTTTAAAAAATTTATATTGCTTTTTTTCATCAACCAGTGTTTTGACCCTGTTTTTAGACATTCTGAAGTTTCTAGCAAAATAATTTGAAGGCTTTTTTTGCCATTTTTTTGATCAAGTCATTCCTTTTCAAATATTCTGTATTTTTCGTGTTTGAGTGAAATAAATAAATAAATTTTTCAATGTTGTAGTTGATGGCTCACCGTACTTAGTCCGGTTTCGAAAAACATTTTTTGCAAGATTTCCACTTGCTAGTTTTTTTTTAATTTTTGCATACTATTCTTGAGAATTGAAATAACTTCTGACCATTTTCATGAAAATTCTCAATATCGACTTGAAGCTGCCTATCTTGGGAGAGTGATCCACAAAAATTAACCGAAAATGGATCATTCGAAATCCCATCACCTCGAAAAACAAATCCAGCTCAATTTCGATGGCCTCGTCGACGAGGGAAGGCCCATAATTCGATCACTCTTTCCTCTATGACGTACCATGCAAATGAGCGGGTTCAATCCCTGTAGAGAGAGACAGCTGGCAGCTGTGTCCACGGCCACAGCCCTTTTTCGTGGTTGGCTCTCTGCGTCTTGTCTCCATTTTGGTACACGACCTGGCCGTGTTCCATTCGATTTCGAATCACCTTCTTTCCCACCAAATGTTTACTTTGCTGTACGCCGGTCCAATACACTCCGATTGTTTCCACTTGGAAGAACTCGTTTTTCCTTTCAAATTGTGAGAACCTTTTTCGAAAATCTTTTTTTGACTGTTCTGGTATCTTCTATTCTCATGCCGAACCCAAAGGTTCTGAAATTGACGTGATATTGGTTTAAAATGATTGCACGAAATACATAAAATGAGAATTTCGTGAGCAATTAGGAAAATTGGGTCCTACAGCGATATGATGAATTTCACGCGCGAACTCAAAATTTTCGTTGGAAAATGCCGCTTTTTTCAAAATTTTGATTTTCGCGCCTAGAAGCTATATATTGTTCAAGGACCAATTTTTCAGAAGGCTTTCAATTTTTCACTTTTATATTTCGCGAAATAATTTCGAACGAATAACGGGCCAATTTTGAAATCGCCCTAATTTCCTTGAACATGAAGCTAACTCCTTCTAAGAAAAATATGAAAAAAAAATTCTTTTATAGCTTTTTTGAGACTTTCTAAGCCTATTTCGGAACCTAAAAAGGGCTATAAAGCTTATTTCATTTCAAAGGTTTGCTCCCAATATTTTCTCAAATTAGTTCCAAAACAATATTTTTGTTATGATTGGGCCGATTTTATTCATATTATAACTTTTCTTGCTCCAAAATCTCGTTTTTTGAACTGTTTATTGGGTAAAAACTTTCAAACCTTGAAAGTCCAGTTTTAACTGTCTCAAGTGTACTGTCAATGTCTTTTTTGCTCATGTGACTAGGGAGGTCTTTTTATTTTGCGGTTGGGATTTTCATGAAAGTTGGCCAGAATGTTCCTTGATGTATCAGAAGAAGATTCTGGAGGTCTCAACCTGTGAAACTTTCTAGTTTTCGAGAAATAAGCCTCAAAATAGCGTAATTTTATGGATTTTGAAAAAAACTAGGAAGTTGGGCAGGTCGCGACTTTCAGGGCTTTCATTTGATACATCAAGGAGTGTTCAGGCCAATTTTTAGAAAATTCCCAAGTAAAATGACCTCCAATGTGGGGAAAAATCACAAAACTGAGGATCTCTAGAACGAAACTTGACCAACAAAGTACTTCTCATTGACCTCAAAAATAAATCGAATCCGTCGAAAATAAGAAAAGCGCATCAGCTATAAATTAACGAGTCCACTCCACAGGTGGTGGACAGACCCGAGTCCCTTCGGATAATTACATCAATTGGCCGTCCGTTGTTTCTTCCAGCAAGAAAAGCCAGTCACTGGCTGTTGTGAGGTCAGGAGAACGTACGGATCGCCATGCATGAGAGGTTCACGAATGTATATCTATCTCCTCAGCCATACGCCACATTTGTTGTCCCCAATCTGGGCAAATCCCTCTTCCAAGGATGTCTTGGCGGCTGGCAACCGTGCAATAAAGACGTCACAACGTATTAGCCATGCACTCGGGACGGTTGGGAGTGCATCTTTTAGGTCAAAAGGAAGTTAAGACTTTGTTTATTGGCCTAGTATTGATTCTAAGTCGAGATGGTATCATTTTTTCCTGATTTTGGTACTAAAACAAGCAAAAAAGACGTCACAACGTGTTAGCTATGCTTTTGAGACGGTTGCGAGTGCATATTTAAGGTCAAAATGAAGTTGCGACTTTGTTTATTGGCCAAATTGGGGTTCCAATTCAAGATTATAAGCCCCGGTACCATAAGGCGTAGTTTTGTACTGCCCTATTCGAGTTTAGGTTGATCAATCTCGATTTTGGTACTAAATTAACCAAAAACAACGTCACAACGTTTCAGCCATGCACTCGAGACGGTTGGGAGCGCATATTTAAAGTCAAAATGAAGTTGAGACTTCGATTACTGGCCAAATTGGGGTTCAAAGTCAAGATTAGAAGCCCTGTAACAATCAGGTGCAGTCTTGTACTTCCCTATTTGGGTTTAGGTTGATTTTGGTACTGAAAAGAGGAAAAATGACGCACAACGTGTAAGCCATGCACTCGGGACGGTTGGGAGTACGTCTTTGAGGTCAAAATGAAGTTGCGATTTCGTTTATCGAACAGTTTGTTCTTCAAAGTTAAGGTTCAAAATCCTGTCATCATTAGGCGCAGACTTGTTCTGCGCCATTTGGGTTTAGGCTGGGTTGGAAAAAAAAAGGGCGTTTCGTTAACTTTTTTCTTGATTTCGGTACTGTAATGGTCAAAAAAGACGTCACAGCGTATTAGCCATGCACTCGAGACGGTTGGGAAAGCATATTCAGGGTCAAAATGAAGTTGCGACTTTGTTTATTGGCCAAGTTCTGGTTCAAAGTCAAGATTAGAAGCCCTGTTACCATTAGACGAAGTCTCATAATGCCCCATTTGGGTTTAGGCTGATTTTTTTCGATTCTGGTACCTAAATGAGGGAAAAAGATATTAGGAGCCATGCACTCGAGACGATTGAAAGAACCTTTTGACGCCAAAATCAAGTCTCGGTTTGGTTTATTAGCCAAGTTGGGGTTCAAAGTCAAGATTATAAGCAGACTTGTACTGCCCCATTTGGGTTTAGGCTGATTTTTCTCGATTTTGGTACTTGAATGAGGAAAAAAGACGCTAGAAGGTATTAGCCATGCACTCGAGACGGTTGGGAGTGCATATTTGAGGTCAAAATGAAGTTGAGACTTCGTTTATAGGCCAAAGTCAAGTCAAGTCGTAGTTCAAAGTTAAGGATATAAGCCCTGTTACCATTAGCCTTATACTCGAGACGGTTATGAATACATATTTAAGGTCAAAATTGAGTGTCGACTTCGTTTATTGTCCAATGTCTAGTTCAAAGTCAGAATTTGGAGTCCTGTTGTCATTTTCGTTGATTATAGTATCTGAATGAAAAAAAGACGTCGAGGGAGATCAAATTGAAGAAAGAAGTTTGTTAATTGGTAAATTTGGCATTCAAAATCAACAATTTTGGATCTTTCAATGATTCTCTCACTAAATGTCTTTGTTAAAAAGTTCACGACGCTTTAATAGTACTCTTGATACGTGTGGAAGTTTATTTTCAGGTCAAAATGGTTCACGGACCACGTTAATGTAAAATTAAATTTTCTCAAAAATGAAGCACATTCAAATTATGGGTTTTTGACCTCTTTTCCGCCGAAACGCCTTTTTGAAAAAGCAAGAGTTGACTTTCAAAAATCTTGGAAAACTTATAAACAGTCTTTGCTTCATATTTTTCGACTCAAAAAACTCCAAAGTTCAACTAATTTTCAGTCTTATTTTTTGCTCCGGTTCAACTTTTGGGCCTTTCGAGCGCTCAAAAAGAACTCATAAGATCATTATGTTAATTATTTTCCCTTTAGTGGAACCTTAGAATTTCTTCTTTTTATTTCATGGCTTCTAAAAATTGAAGCATCCGTTATAAAGTTCAATCAAAGGGTCTGCCAAGCCGATAAACCTGACATTTGACTTTGAATTTTTTTTTCGAACTTTGTAACTTCACGATGAAGACCTATATTCAGTGTAATTTTTGCTCCTGAATGACTTTTGTGACTTTGAAAACTCAAAAAGAGCTCATAACTTCTCTTTTCCCCTTATTCATTGACTCAAAAACCCTCCAAAGTTGGATCAAAGGGCCTCCCAAGCCGAGAAAACGTGGCATCTGACGGCAGGATCTGTACTTGACGGACGTTTTGCCGTCCATCGAGGTGACGTGCCGATAAAAACGGTTCGCTGCGTGGAAAACAAGCGCGGCGACGGCTGTGATGACCTCATGGCCGGCCGGAGAAGGTGCACCCCCGCTCCGCCACACGCCCAAGCGGCCATTGCACCCTCACTTGCCGCTAAGCACTATCGATCCTTTTGCCATGTTGTTTTTTGCTCGAAATCGCATTTTTATGCCTTTTTGCAATTTCCCTGATGGTTCATGACTGTTACAATATACTTAGAGATGAAATTACATTTTTTGCTTTGCTTAATTGATTTTTTCACGGATTTTAAATTGTCATATGTAATCATAAAAGCTTATTTTACTTGGTAAAAAGATTTTATTGACGCTATTTTTAGAATAGTTGGATCTTTTTCCTATTTCTTGGCCTAATTTTTACATTTTTGGAGGCTTTTCCATTGCTTTTTCACTCGAAATCGCATTTTTATGTCTTTTTTCTTACAATTATTGTTCAAATTCATTATTTAATAGTTCTTTGGATTATTTAGGCCGGAAAAAGTTATCATTTTTCCAATTTTTGAGCTGATTTTTGACTTAAATCGGTTTTCCGAAATTCTTTTTCAAGCTAGGTTATAAATGGGACTATTTTTTTTTCTTCTCCCAGCTTGAAATTATATTTATAATGATTTATTGAGCAGATTTTATTGATGATTTCTTTTTTTGAAGCCTGAGTTTACTTTTTTTGAAAAACTTGTTCAGATGAATGACTATGTTATCTTTTTCTGAATTCTTTTTCTATATTTTTTTAGCTTGGAAATATAATTTTTAAAGGTTTTTGAGCTGAAATTTGTGAAGTTTCTAGGAATTTTCCGGCTTTCCTTTGCTTTTTAATGCTTGTCCGAAGCTTTTTTTAAGTGTATTACTGTTTTTAATACAATTTTTTTCTCAGAAATATTTTTTTAGAGTATATTTTTTTATCATGCTTTGCAGACCGCAAGTTGTGTTTTGTGCATTTTATTGACCAAAAATGGGAGAAATTTCTTCTCATTTCCGTCGATACACTGATATGATAAGACTGGTAGGCCTTTTACTTTCGACTTTTCGAAAAAAAGTGCGTTCTAGGGAATTTTAACAGACTAATTTGCTTCGAAATCTTGATTTACTCACAAAAATTTTACGAAATTTTGATTTTTTTCAGTTTTTTGGTATGTTCTTTTCTTGGTTGTGAGTAATTTCAAGAGCAATTATAACTTTTTGTTCATTTTTCTTTGATTCTCATATAAAGAAACCCCACTTTTCGGTTTCATTTAAAATTAATTTTTCCTAAAAGGGACAAGTTCCTTTTTTATCGAATCATTTTCACATGCCCTAACTCGATTTTTAATTTTTTTTTTTATTCATCGGATCGAATCCCCATGTCGATCTCCGGTCATGCAATTTATTTTCGTAACGGTGATTCTCACAAAAATTGTTCAAAATAGACATTTGTATCAGATTTTAGACCATTTTTCGCATTTTTAAGACTCTTTCATAGGGCTTTTATTATTATTTCTGTCAAGTATAGTTTTTGGCTTACCTGGTTAGTAATTTTTCAATGTTTTTGACTGTGCATTTTCTCGGGATGAACGTTTTCTAAAAGTTATTCAACTAATTATTTCTCGTTTGAAACTTATTTCAAGGTCCCTGGAATCTTGGTCATTTTTGAGCGTTTTTTTGGATGATTTGAACGTTTTTAAGTCAATTAACGTGGTATTTGTCATTCCAAACGGTCTTCTCATGTACTACATGGGTTCATTTTTTCATCCTCTGCATTTATTTGATTGATTGAGTTCCCATTTTGATCTCCGACCGTGCAGTTTTAGCTGAAAAGTCCCAAAATTCTTATGAAAAAGGTTCAAATTTGACTTTTTAGATAGAGTTTTGAGCATTTTTGCTGGACTAAGAGTTTTTTGACAGAACTTCTGAATTTGTAATCTTTTTTAGATATCCGTCTACTTTTTGATGAAACTTCCTGAAGTGTGCCCTAGGGCTTCCTGATTTCGAAAAGAGAGAATAAATTCTCAAAATGAGCCTTGTTTTTGAATTAGAAAGCTTCAAAATCAGCTAAACTATCACAAGAAAAGCGCTATTTCGAGCTTTTGAAGCGTCTTGACTCGAAAACCACAATTATTGCGAGAAATTTTTATTTTTCTAAAATCCGTAGTTCCTAAAGTACGCGTCACTTCAGAGTTTCATCAAAAAGTTCGTCGGGGGAATTTCCCCTGGCCGGTTCAGAATAAAGTATTTCTCATTCCATACCATTTTCACATGTCCTATCTGGATCCAATTTTTCCTCTCTGCTCAATTTGATTGATTGAGTTCTCATTTTGATCTCCGACCGGGCAATTTGTTCTGAAACGTTCCATAATTGAAGTGATTTTCATGAAAAATGTTCAAATTTGACTTTCTAAATAAAGTTTTGAGCGTTTTCGCTGGATTTCAGTCTTTCTTCACATATCTTTAACATTTTTCAGTGTCATTTTCAAGTAATTTAACATTCCGAACGATTTTCTCATGCCCTACCTGGATCCAATTTAGCCCCCCTCCGTCAATTTTATTAATTGAGTTCCCTCGTCGATTTTCTGTAGTTAAATGTGTCCTGGAACGTCCCTTATCTGAAGCGATTTTTACGAGAAAAGGTTCAAATTTTACATTTTTGCCGGATTTTACCCTTTTTTTCACATATCTTTAACATTTTTTTCAGTGTCATTTTCAAGTAATTTAACATTCCGAACGATTTTCTCATGCCCTACCTGGATCCAATTTAGCCCCCTCCGTCAATTTTATTAATTGAGTTCCCTCGTCGATTTTCTGTAGTTAAATGTGTCCTGGAACGTCCCATAATTGAAGTTATTTTAACGAAAAAGGTTCAAATTTGACAATTTTGAGCATTTTTGCCCTATTTTACCCTTTTTTCACATATCTTTAACATTTTTCAGTGTCATTTTCAAGTAATTTAACATTCCGAACGATTTTCTCATGCCCTACCTGGATCCAATTTAGCCCCCCTCCGTCAATTTTATTAATTGAGTTCCCTCGTCGATTTTTCTGTAGTTAAATGTGTCCTGGAACGTCCCATAATTGAAGTTATTTTTAACGAAAAAAAGGTTCAAATTTGACAATTTTGAGCATTTTTTTGCCCTATTTTACCCTTTTTTTCACATATCTTTAACATTTTTTTCAGTGTCATTTTTCAAGTAATTTAACATTCCGAACGATTTTCTCATGCCCTACCTGGATCCAATTTAGCCCCCCCTCCGTCAATTTTATTAATTGAGTTCCCTCGTCGATTTTCTGTAGTTAAATGTGTCCTGGAACGTCCCTTATCTGAAGCGATTTTTACGAGAAAGGTTCAAATTTTACATTTTTGCCGGATTTTACCCTTTTTTCACATATCTTTGAAGTTTTTCAGTGTCCATTTCAAGTTGTTTAGCATTCCGAACGATTTTCTCATGCCCTACCTGGATCCAATTTTGCCCCCTCTCTGCGCCAATTTTATTAACTGATTTCTCTTTTCGATCTTCTGTAGTTAAATGTGTCCTGGAACGTCCCATAATTGAAGTTATTTTTAACGAAAAAAAGGTTCAAATTTGACAATTTTGAGCATTTTTTTGCCCTATTTTACCCTTTTTTTCACATATCTTTAAAATTTTTTTCAGTGTCAATTTTTAAGTAATTTCACATTCCGAACGATCTTCTCATGCCCTACCTGGATCCAATTTTCCACCCTCAGCGTCAATTTGATGGATCGAGTTCCCATGGTCAAACCTCCGGCCGTCCAATTTGTCCTGGAACGTCCCGAAACAAGGGGACCAGAACCTGAAGTCGAGCTTGACATGAAGGGATACATCCCATCGGACACACGGAGGTCACAACACACTCTATGTGTGTAATACGAGAATATGACGAGTTGGTCTTCGTTTCTGCCTTCCCCCTCGATCTCCACTTGAAGCCATCGGCTTTGTCTTCCCCGCCAATGGCTTTTTATTTTGATTGGCTCGATTTCAGTTGAAATAATGTTGAAAAACGACAGAAATCGCTCTAAATATACTGAAGGGAGTCAGATTTTTGAAATAACCTTGGTTTTCTGGCTTCAGGGGACCTTTTCTATTTTTTTCAAACCATCAGCTTCCCCCAATCAGTCGGCTTTTCGTTGGGGGTAGAAATAAAGTTGGAAAACGACAGAAATATCTCTAAATAAACTGAAGGAAGTCAGATTTTCGAACTTATCTTGGTCTTTCGGATTAATGGGACCTTTTTTCTGCGACTACATGATATTTTGAATACTTCAGAAGTCTACTCGATTTTCGAAAAAACTTAGGATTTATAATGAAAAAACTTTTCAAGCCATAACTTTGTTTTCCGGGCAAATCGCTAGTCTTTTTTTCGATTTTTATAGTTTCTATTGCTGGATTTTGTGTCTTTTAATTATTTTAAATGTATCGAAGCAAAAATAAAGTCTTCAAATTTGCTCAAAAGGTTCTTTAAATAAAGAAATTTGAAGAAAAGGACGTAAAAAAATATAATATTTTTTTCCTTATTGGTACCCTTTAAAAATGCCCTTTTATATTTTTTTGAAATTTTTCTCCATAGCGGTTTCGAGGCTTTTTTTCTCACGTAGGAAGCCTTCATTGGAAAAAAAATCATAGAGTTATTAATCACAAATTTTTTTTTTGCAATAAAATTGTTCAAGAACAGCTGTTTCGATTCAAAAGTCCTTCTTCAAAAGCCTCTTTTTTGAATTTTGCAACATTCTAAAGCTTCTCTGTGCTAAAATCCTCAAATTTTGCTTCTGATCCAGCTTTCCAGCCGTTTTTTTCCGTCCGATATTTGCTCTGAGAGAGCAGTGTTCTCACACGGACGAATGGCCATTCATCGTCCAGCCGAGAAAAAAAAAGGAAAGAAATTGGCCGGCCGAGCGCAGAGAAAGGTGTTCGAAATCAAAATTTAATGCGCTCGTTGATGGTCGATGGCTATCGATGGAGGCTGTCGTTTTTTTTTTCGTCCTTTTTTCTCGCACTCGCCTTTTTGTTGTCGATTTGAATTGTTTCTTCGTTTATTTTGGTCGAAAATTATGAAAAAAGAAGGGTTTTGTCCACTTTTCTCAATGATTTCACTTCTTCAGGGACTACTGAGAATTTTAAAAGAGTTATAGCTTCCACTTTGACCACTTTAGTGGTCACTAAACAAGCTATTTTCTGGGTAAAAAGTACTTTTCTAATTTTTTATGCGTTTTTATTGATTTTTTTAAGCCTTTTTTTTGAGATTGTAGTTGTCAATTTGTATTGTTTTAATAGTCGATAATTATGAAAACGAGAGTTTTTGTTCACTTTTTTTGGATTTGAAATGTCTTTTTCAATAGTTTTTCCTTGAGGAACTAGTAAACATTCTAAAGGTCAAATATCTTATTTTGAGCCCTCTAGGGGCCACTAAACCTTCATTAAGCTCTTTTTCCAAGCTATTAGTTCTCATTTTGTATTGATTTATTGATCCAAAATTATAAAAAATGATTTCAATAATTTTTCTCCTTAAGAGACTACTCAAATAGCTCCACCTTTCATCCCTCTAGGGGTCACTAAACGTCCATAAAGCTCATTTTTTGACTAAGAGACTACTATGAAGTTTTGAATTTTTTTTTTTCGGTTTCATTGAATTTTCAGTCTTTTTTGAGCTTTTAGTTGTCAAGTTGTATTGTTTCATTGATCGAAAATTATGAAAATAAGGTTTTTTTTTCAATTCTTTTAAAAGATAGAATGAAAAATGTCTTTTAATAGTTTTGCTTCTTGAGTGACTACTTATCATTTTATAGCTCTAATAGCTTCATTTTGACCCTTTAGTGGCCACTAAATGCTGCAAAACTGATTTTCTGACTAAAAGACTACTTGTTTTCCAACTTTTTTTTGGTTTTATTGATTTTTGAAGCCTTTTTTGAGATTATAGTTGTCAATTTTTATTTTTCGATCACTTTAGGGGTCATTTCTAGCATACTCAAACCACTCTAGTGATCACTAAACAGCCTATTCTCGATCCCTAAAGGGACCACTTATCAATTTCAAACTTTCTGAGGTTTTTGAATCGCCAAAAATTCTGAATAATATTTTTCTTTTTCCGAGTTCCAAGCCAAAATTTCTGTTCAAGCTGGTTTTTGTCGGATTTTTCTGGGAATTTTTTTTCCCTCTGCTCAATCTGAAGAGCCTTCGGATCCGTCTTCGATATGCTCCCCCTCTCTCTCAATAAAATGTTTGCCGTTCTTTATATCCGTGTTGTCTTCTTTTTGCTTTCAACCCCCCCCGTTTTCGTCATGATTCGGCCAGAAGAAAGGGTCTTGGAACGGTTTTTTTAAAAGTTTTCTGGAGACCTCTCTTGAATTTTAGATTTTTTTGAAAAATACTTAGGAGTTTTTTCGAAAAAAATGGATTCCGGATCTTGATCTTGTAGATGTTTCCGATTAAAAATTGGTCAGGATCAATATTTTTTTCTATTATTTTTTTGGGAAAAATGGGGTTTTTAAGCTTCAATTTTTCCCCATTTGCGACTTTTTCTCATATTTATTTAGTTTGGAAAAATAGTTTTTCCCGAGTTCACCACTTACTCGGTTTTTTTGTACTGGAATGGTTCGTAAATATTTACACGACTTCTTTTTGTTTACGGTCTTTAAAAAGGTTTTTTTGTGTAATAATATCGACCGTTTTTAAGTTTTTGGTCGAAAACTTTTTTTCTGAAAAATTCAGAATAACTTATTTTTGCAAAAAGCTGTTGAAGGCACAGATGGTTTTCAGGAAAAAAATTGGTTTAAAAAAATTTTTTTGATAATTTTTTTATCTAATTTATAAGTTGAATATCAATATTTCAAATCAGAGAAGCTTGATTTTGATGTTAATTTTGCGATAAATGAATGAAATGTATGTTCAATTAACTTCTACGCTTTTTTCCTAATGGCGTATTCTTCGGACAAAACGAAAATTGTTTCGAAACGAAAAATTAGAACTGTTTTGAAGCAATTTTGGCGCGTCGATGAACACGATTTTCCGTTTTGAAGCATTTTCCGTTTCTTCGATGCTGTAAAGGTTGCCAATCTTGTAAATCTTGTAATTTTTTCTCGGTTTTATCCGCCTTTTTTCTCTGTAACACCTGCTATCCAACGTGACCAGACAGTCGGCGAACGGCTTTTTTTCCGAGTTGCCAAAAAGAAGAAAAAAAGATAGAAGCAGCTGTTGCGGGAAAAGCTCGCCTCCACCTTCTTTCGTGTCGCTTTTGAACGGCCCGACACGAAATTCGAGAACTTTTGTAAGGGATAGTTGATTCAAGAGAGCCTCGGGGTTGTTCTCCGGCAAAGTCGAAATGGTGGGTAATGGCCGCTGGCCGCTAAAAAGTTCAAAAAAGGCAGCAAAAAGGCCGTTAAAAGGCTTAAAAATGGCCGCAGAAAGGTAGCAAAAAGGTGGTAAAATGGCAGCAAAAAGACAGCAAAAAGGTTGCAGAAAGGCTGCAAAAAAGGTCCCTTTATCGAGCCTTCCATTTTTCTGGGACAAGAAATGGTGGAAAACGGAAGAGGCAGCAAAAAGGGGGCAAAAGTGGCGCGAAAAGGCAGCGAAAAAGGAACATTTTTCCACCCTTTCCGACTTCGCCTATGTTCGAAGGATCATAGCGGATGAAATTTTCGATATTTTTGCTCGGAAACCTTTTTTTTTTATCGAAGACCAGATAAATTTGAATATTAGCTGCGAAATTTTGAGATCAAGTCATCCTTTCACAAGGAATTTGCATGTTTTATTGATTTTTCAAGCTGAAAAAATTCATGTAGGATCATTTTGCTTTTTCTCTCTCTCTTGCTTTTTTTAAAGTACTTTCGAGATGTGCTATCGATTTTTCAAGCTCAAGACAGAGGTAAATAGACTATTTCCGCCTTTTTTTTTGTTGAAACTCCGTACATCGCTATTTTCTCACTTTTATTGCTTTTTTTCCGCCAATTTACTGCCCAGCTGTATGTATGAGTCATCATGCTGTAAATTTGGTTTTGGACCTTTTTCATTTTTTTTTTTCTGTGTCCCATTCCAACTCAATTTTCGAGCTTATTTATCATCTTTTTCTAGATTTCACATCACTTTTTCCGGATTTATTTAAAAGTGCCAAACTGGGTCTGCATATCTGTTGCTTTGCTTATTTACCGGAGTTGAAGGATCCACATTTTATTTTTCATCCAGCATTTTTTCGACTCTTTGCCCTTTTCTCAATGCAATTGCTCGATTTCGAAGCTATATTTTCAAAAGAAAACATTTTATTTTGGTCCTTAAATTCCTACCAAAATTGATTGAGAACGGATAGAAGGTTTTTTTAACATATAATCTATAAAAAGTGCGGGAAGAAGATTTATATTATATATTTTTTTAAAGTTGAGAAGGTTTTGAACGTTTTTTTCATGGAGAATTGAAATAAGTGATTGAAAAAAAGGATTTTTTTCTGTTTTTTTCTTTTGAAAGATATGTCGTGTAAAGTTTTGTAATCGCTTATTATGCCAATGAAAAATCCATCATTTTTTTGGCGTTTTTTTATTCAAATATTCATTGGTTTGGTATGAAATTTAAGGATCAAACAAGTTCCATTCAAAATTATACCTAGTAATGGAACGAACAAATTTTCTTCGGAATTTTTCGACGTCGAAACTTCGAACTGTACAACATTTACCGATTTTTCAAACTTCCAAGCTTCAAAAGAGCCTGTAATCTTACCACAAAACCCCTTGAAGTAACCGCCAAAATGGTTCCAAAGGTACCAAACCATGGTAAACTTTAAAAGAGCCTAAAATCTTACCAAAATGGTTTCAAAGGCTTAAAACCATGGTAACCTTTATAAGACCCTAAAATCTGAACATCTCCCTTGAAAGAACCGCCAAAAT